CCCCCTTAAATGCTATTCCTGCTGTAAGATGCTTTGAAGTCACTGGACCCAAAGAGAAGCCTGTTGAAACCAGGATAATTTTTCTCAGAGTAATCGCTGGATTCTGTCCTAGGGTTTGGGGATGGCCTTCAAGATTTCTGCTGGCTTCTCGTCCTTCTGCTGTTTCTCCCACGGACATCCTGCCTCCCACTGGCCCAGTTGCTGCCAATCAATGACGTGGGTTGGCAGCCGGTGTGGCTGAGTCCCTCGGCCTGGAGAGACCCACCTTTGGGACCAATGTCCAGCTCCGGAGAGGGGATCTTCCCAGAATCAAGCTCTCCCAGATCCTGCCCACTCACAGGGGACCCATCCCAGCCACAGAGAGCTGCAAGATCAGCCTTCTCCAACAAAAGACGAGACAGACGCCCTAATTCCTTAGACTTAACTTTTCACCTTCTCCGAGAGTTCCTGCAAATGGCTCGAGAAGAAAAAATGGCTCAGCAGGCACGGAATAATAAAATACTGCTGCATAATTTAGGCAAATGAGGGAGGGAGGGAGGGGGGGCAGGGGGAGATGGCAGTTATCCATAGTCCAATGGACCATTTTATAACTGTGCATTTTGTAGAGATCTGTGTGTCATTTTCACATAGGTAGTCCTCAACCAACGATCACAGTCGGGGCTGACATTTCCATCGTTGAGCAAAGCCGTTGTTAATGAGTCGGGCCTGATTTTACTACTTTTTTTTTGCCACCGTTGTTAAGTGAATCCATGCAGTTGTTAAGTGAACCGTGCGGTCGTAAAGCAAAACCGGCTTCTCCTATTGATAGTGCTTGTCGAAGTGTCAGCGTCCCAGCACTGACATATAATAAAGGGAGGAGAAGCCTGAACTTTTGCCTACTAAATCCCTTTGAAGATTCTGTCTCCTCGGAGATGGGAGAGGAGGGAGACATTCCTGTGATCTGACGAAGAAGGAATCAGGAAAGTGACTTGGAAGATAGCCAATGAGAAGCAGAGAATTGGGGATCGGAAAGGGAGGGATTGGGGGGCAAAGGTCAGTACTGACCGCGAAAGAGCCAGGGTCAGATCGCTGTGCTCGAATAAAGAGAAAATTTCCTTAAAGATCGGCAGTTTGGAAATTCATTTATTTTGAGATAGGATTGAAACCTGACACGAAGGTTGCAAAAGGGACTCTGCAACATTCATCCATGTACGCCAATTGCCAAGCCCCTGAATGTGGGCCATGTGGCCATGAGGACGCTGTGATGGGTGTTAAGGGGGAGGATGGGTTGTGAGTGACTTTTGTCAGCGCCGGTTGTAAATTCAAAGGGTCCCTAAATGAGCGGTTGTGTAAGTCGAGGACTATCTATAAAGGTTACAATGTCTGGTCTCGCTTCAGAGCAATTTTCTCAACTGTGGCAACTTGAAGGCATCTGGACTTCAACCCCCAGAATTCCCCAGCCAGATCAGGGAGGGACAAAGTTTGATGTGGAGGGAGGGAGGGAGGGAGGGAGGGAGGAAGATGAGACAAAGGAATGAAAAATAGGGAGAAAGAAAGGAAGGGATGTAGGAAGGAAAGAAGGAGGAAGGAAGGAAGAAGGAAGGAGGATGAGAAAAAAGAAGGAAGGAAGGATGGAAGGAAGATGAGACAAAGAAATGAAATAGGAAGAAAGAAAAGAAGGTATGTAGGAAGGAAGGAGGAAGGAAGGAAGGAAGATGAGAGAAAGGAAGGAAGGACGGAAGGAAGGAAGGAAGAAAGATGAGACAAAGGAATGAAAGAAAGGAAGAAAGGAAGGAAGGGATGTAGGAAGGAAAGGAGGAGGAAGAAAAGAAGGAAGGAAGGAAGATGAGACAAAGGAATGAAAAGAAGGAAGGAAGGATGGAAGGAAGATGAGACAAAGGAATGAAATAGGAAGAAAGAAAGGAAGGTACGGACAAAGGAAGGAGGAAGGAAGGAAGGAAGGAAGGAAGGAAGGAAGGAAGGAAGGAAGGAAGGAAGGAAGAAAGATGAGACAAAGGAATGAAAGGAAGGAAGAAAGAAAGGAAGGAAGGGATGTAGGAAGAAAAGAAGGAGGAAGAAAGGAAGGAGGGAGGGAGGAAGGATGAGAGAAAGGAATGAAAAAAGGAAGGAAGGAAGGAAGATGAGACAAAGGAAGAAAGAAAGGAAGGTATGTAGGAAGGAAGGAGGAAGAAAGGAAGGAAGATGAGAGAAAGGAATGAAAGAAAGGAAGGGATGTTGGAAGGAAAGGAGGAGGAAGAAAAGAAGGAAGGAAGGAAGATGAGACAAAGGAATGAAAAGAAGGAAGGAAGGATGGAAGGAAGATGAGACAAAGGAATGAAACAGGAAGAAAGAAAGGAAGGTACGGACAAAGGAAGGAGGAAGGAAGGAAGGGAAGGAAGGAAGGAAGGAAGGAAGGAAGGAAGGAAGGAAGGAAGGAAGGAAGGAAGCTGGCTTCCGGTGGTCTTCTGGGTGTGCTTCAAGGTGTTGGTGACCACCTTTAAAGCGCTCCATGGCTTAGGGCCAGGGTATCTACGAGACCGTCTTCTGCCACCAATAGCCTCCCACCGGCCAGTACGCTCCCACAGAGAAGGACTCCTCAGGGTGCCGTCGACCAGACAATGTCGGCTGGCGACCCCCAGGGGGAGAGCCTTCTCTGTGGCGGCACCTGCCCTCTGGAACGATTTGCCCCCAGAGATACGTACAATAACAGACCTCTGGATTTTTCGTCGGGCCCTGAAAACCTATTTATTTCATCTAGCCGGCCTGGCTTGATCCCATCCTTTTGGTTTTAATTTGGAATTGATTTTAATTGGACTGTTTTAAATTGTGGGCCGAAATCATTTAATATCTTTTAAACTGTTTTTAAATTTTGTATGTTATGTTTTACCTTGGCTGTTCACCGCCCTGAGTCCTGCTGGAGAAGGGCGGCATAAAAATCAAATAAATAAATAAATAAGATCACTATAGAACATCAATATAGAATAACAGAGTTGGAAGGGACCTTGGAGGTCTTCTAGTCCAACCCCTTGCTCAAGCAGGAAACTCTATATACCATTTCAGACAAATGGCTGTCCAACATCTTCTTAAAAATTTCCAGTGTTGGAGCATTTACAACTTCTGGAGGCAAGTTGTTCCACTGGTTAATTATCCTCACTGTCAGGAAATCTCTCCTGAGTTCTAGGTTGCTTCTCTCCTTGATTAGTTTCCATCCATTGCTTCTTGTCCTGCTTTCAAGGTGCTTTGGAGAATAGCTGGACTCCCTCTTCTTTGGGGCAGCCCCTGAGATATTGGCAGACTGCTATCATGTCTCCCCTAGTCCTTCTTTTCATAAGACTAGACATACCCAGTTCCTGCAACTGTTCTTCATATGTTTTAGCCTCCAGTCCCCTAATCCTCTTTGTTGCTCTTCTCTGCACTCTTTCTAGAGTCTCCACATCTTTTTTTACATCGTGGCGACCAAAACTGGATGCAATATTCCAAGTGTGGCCTTACCAAGGCCTTATAAAGTGATACTAATACATCACCTGTTCTTGATTCTATCCGTTTGTTTATGCAGCCTAGAACTGTGTTGGCTTTTTTGGCAGCTGCAGCACACGGCTGGCTCATATTTAAATGTGACTTATGACCCTTTTCCACACAACCGTTGTAGCATCCCCATGGTCACGTGATCAAAATTCAGATGCTTGGCAAAGGACTCATATTTATGACCGTCGCAGAGTCCCAGGGTCACATGATCCCCGTTTGCGACCTCCTAACAAGCAAAGTCCATGGGGAAGCCAAATTCACTTAACCATCATGTTACGGTACTAACTTAACAGCTGCAGTGATTCACTTAACAGATGGGGCAAGAAAGGTCATAAAATGTGGGGAAACTCACTTAACAACCATCTCGCTTAGCAACAGAAGTTTGGGGCTCTTTTGTGGTCGTAAGTTCGAGGACTGCCTAAATTAGAAGATGCTGTGGTGTCCTCCCCAATCCTTTTCTTTGATAGACCAGACACAATTTCAGTAATTGTGTCAGATGTCATGCTATCACACACGTTTGCACAAGAAGGTCACAACACACAGCTTAATATTTTTTTTTTGTTATGGTCATATATTCCAGATACTTCTGGAAACCCTGAAAATCCACAGCTTCCTTCCTCTGCTTTCTCCCAAGGATTTGAATATGTTCCAGAGATCTCTCTGTCTCTCTCTCTACCTACCTATCAATCATTTATCTATCTATCTGAAACTCAGATGCAATATTGTATATATATTAAATATATTGTACATATATTAAAATATATATATTCTTTTGCAAAAAGGGACATAGTGGCTCAGTGGCTAAGACGCTGAGCTTGTCGATCGAAAGGCGGCTCAAATCCCGAGTGCCACATAACGGGGTGAGCTCCCGTGACTTGTCCCAGCTTCTGCCAACCTAGCAGTTCGAAAGCATGTAAAAAATTCAAGTAGAAAAATAGGGACCACCTTTGGTGGGAAGGTAACAGCGTTCCGTGCGCCTTTGGCATTGAGTCATGCTGGCCACATGACCACGGAGACGTCTTCGGACAGCGCTGGCTCTTTGGCTTTGAAACGGAGATGAGCACCGCCTCCTAGAGTCAGGAATGACTAGGACATATGTGCAAAGGAAACCTTTACCTTTACCTATTCTTTTGCAAAAAATGCCCCCAAAACAACAACAAATAAGCTTTAAAAATCAGCAACCATTTCTAGAACATAACAAAACAGGATTATTAATCTTGAGGCCATAACATTTGGGGTGTAGTCATTCTTGAACGCTGTCCGACATAAGTCTCGTAAACTCTCGTCAGCTTTGAGCTCACAAGTGTGAGATCACCGCAAGATGTCTCGATGTGCGCGCACCTGCACTTATGTGTTTAGTGTATCAGCGATAACTCAGTGGCTTGGTGTTCGCAATCCAGATTTGCTAAGTTGCGCAGGAATTGTTCACTTCCGTCGTACGTATTTCCTCCCAAATAGATTAAAGCCACTGCTTGCTTTAAGAAATGGATGTGCAAAGTGTACTCAATAAACTTTATTTTAATCATTGTCTCTTTTCTAAAACTGGGGTTAAGATATAGGCCTGGCCTGGCAGAAGCAAGGATCACAAAGGGAATTTCTTCCTGATTCAATCGTTCAAGCAGATTTTAACAGATTAACAGAGTTGGAAGGGACTTTTTAGGTCATCTAGTCCAACCCTCCGCTCAAGTAGGAGACCCTACACCAGTGATGGCTAACCTTTTTGCCGTCGTGTGCCAAAAGTGGGGGAGTGCGGGGGGTTTGCGTACGTGTGTGCCCACACCCATTATTCAATGCGCCCAGCACATGCGCGTGTAGCCTGCTGTGCTTCCCCTTTTTTTGGCATGCGATGGCACAGTGGGCCCGGAAGACTCGTTTTTTGCCCTCCCCAGGCTCCAGAGGCTTTCTAGGAGCCTGGGGAGGGTGAAAACTGCCTTCCCACCCACCCCCCGGAGGCCCTCCAGAGGCCGGAAACAGCCCGTTTCCTGACTTCCGGTGGGCCCGGAAGGGCTGAAAATCAGGTGGCTGGTGTGTGCATGCGTGCTGGAACTAAGCTAGGGCAACGCTCGCGTGCCCACAGATATGGCTCTGCGTGCCACCTGTGGCACCCGTGCCATAGGTTCGCCATCACGGCCCTACACCATTTCTGACAAATGGTAGTCTAATCTCTTCTTGAAAGTCTCAAGTGTGGAAGCTCCTACAACTTCCAATGGCAATTTCTGATCCATTGACTGATTGTTCTCACTGTCAGAAAATTCCTCCTTATTTCTAGGTTGAATCTCTCCTTGGTCAGTTTCCATCCATTATTCCTTGTCCGGCCTTCGGGTGCTTTGGAAAACAGCTTGATCCCTTCCTCTCTGGGGCAGCCCCTCAAGAAGCTAACCATCACTCTGAGAAGATTCCTCTGTATAGGCCACTGATGGCTAACCATTTTGCCATCGCGTGCCAAAAGTGTGGGGGTGGGGGGCTGTCGCGCACACGCATGCCCACATCCATAATTCTATGCGCCTTGCCCCCGCACATGCGTGTGCGACCCCCGCTCCTGGCACGCAATGGCACGGTAGGCCTGTTTTTTCGCTCTCCCCAGCCTCCAGAGCCTTTCTAGGAGTCTGGGGAGGGCGAAAACAACCTTCCCCCCCGCCCCCGAGGCCCTCCAGAGGCTGGAAACAGCCCATTTGCCAACTTCCGGTGGGACTGGAAATCCCGTTTTTTGCTGTCCCCAGCCTCCAGAGCCTTTCTAGGAGTCTGGGGAGGGCAAAAACAGCCTTCCCCCCCGCCCCCGAGGCCCTCCGGAGGCTGGAAACAGCCCATTTGCCAACTTCCGGTGGGACCGGAAGTCCCGTTTTTTGCTGTCCCCGCCTCCAGAGCCTTTCTAGGAGTCTGTGGAGGGAGAAAACGGCCTTCCCCACCCCTCCGGAGGCCCTCCGGAGGCCAAAAACGGCCTGATCACGTGCCCACTGATATGGCTACACCTGCCACCTGTGGCACGCTTGCCATAGGTTCGCCATCACGGGTATAGGCTTTAACAATCTATTACTACAGGTAATCCTCGACTTACAACATTCATTTAGTGACTGTCACAAAATCACCAGTTGTGACCTTCCCAACTGGCGTCCGACAAGCATAAACGATGGAGGAAGCCAGATTCACTTCTTAACCACTGGGTTACTCACTTCACAATTGCAGCGATTCGCTTAACAACTGTGGCAAGGAACGGTCGTAAAATGGGGCAAGGTTCACTTAACAACAAATGTCTCTCTTAGCAACATAAATTATGGCTCAATTGTGGTCATAAGTCGAGAACTATCTGTAACTGAGGTTCTTGTCTCTCCGACGGGAAGAACTGACTGGATGACGAGGTTCCAAACACTGCTAGAAATTTGGGATGCTTTGCAGAGCAGAAAAAAGTGTCAACCAACTTGTCTTAATCGTGGAGCCAAAGGGTGGGGTTGAAGCAGCTGCTAAGCAGAGGTTCCGCGAAGTCCTCACTTCTCCATCGATCAGCTGTGGGACTGGAGGCAGAAGCCTGGGGGGAAAAAAAACAGAAAGGCTGGGAGAATCAAAAATGGCTTCCATACATAAGGATGGAAACAAGAAGATCTAGACTTAAGCTCACACAGCAGGGGTGAAATGCTTCCAGTTCGGACCGGATCACCTGATCCGATAGCGATGGCGGTGGGTGGTTTGGAGAACTGGTAGCAAAAATCCCTGCCCACCCCCCATGCCCAGCTGAGCTGCACGATCATCAGAGGCTTTTTTTTTTTACTTTTCAAAGCATTTTTTTCTACAACCTCTTCCGATGAAAAAATGCTTTTAAAAGTAAAAAAAAAAAGCCTCTGATGATCGCGCGGCTCAGCTGGGATCATCAGAGGCTTTTCAAAGCATTTTTTTCTGCAACCTCTTGGCCGAAGAGGTGGTACAAAAAATGCTTTGAAAAGTCTCTGACGATCCCAGCCGAGTTGCCTGATCGGCAGAGGCTTTTCAAAACATTAGAAAAAATGCTTTGAAAAGGAGAAAAAAAATAAAAGTTGGCCACGCCACCCAGTTACATTACACCCCCCCCCCACACCAAGCCATGCCCTCAGAACTGGTAGTAACAAATTTTACATTTCACCCCTGTCACACAGTGTATCAGGTCAAGTCTGGCCTCTCATCTGGACTATTGTAACGCTCTCTACATGGGGCTCCCCTTGAGGTGCACCCGGAGGCTCCAACTGGCGCAGAGTGCGGCCGTGCGGGTGGTGATGGGAGCGACATGGAGTTCCCATGTAACACCTCTCCTGCGCGAGCTGCACTGGCTCTCAGTGGTCTTCCGGGTGCGCTTCAAGGTTTTTGTTATCACCTTTAGAGTGCTCCATGGCTTAAGACCTGGTTATCTATGGGACTGCCTGCTACCACCAATAGCCTCCCACCGGCCAGTATGCTCCCATAGAGAGGGGCTCCTCCGGGTGCCGTTGGCCAAACAATGTCGACTGGCGGCCCCCAGGGGGAGAGCCTTTTCTGTGGGGGCACCTACGATCTGGAACGAGCTCCCCCTGGAGATACGGAGGATCCCGGATCTGCGCACCTTCCGTCACGCGCTCAAGACTTTCTTATTTCATCAAGCTGGCCTGTCCTAAATCTTCTCCCCTTTTAAATGTAAATTTTAATTTGTTTTTTAAATTATTGGGTATTTTAAATTTGTCTCAGCCAAATTATTTAATTCATTTTTATTCTATTTAAAATTTTCGTATTTATGTGTTTTATTCTGTGGCTGTTCACTGCCCTGAGTCCTTCGGGAGTAGGGCGGTATATAAATCCAATAAAATAAATAAATAAAATAAAATAAATAAAAGTCTAGTAACTACAACTGCATAACACACTAAGCTTCCCGATTGAAGAGAGTAGCTCAGGGTTGAGCTTGGTAGTTTTCTTGCAGACGTTTCATGACCCAACTAGGTAACATCATCAGTGCTACAAGCAGTGGTGGGTTGCCCCCGGTTCGGACCGGTTTACAAGAACCGGTAGTAAAACCGGTGGGAGGCTCCGCCCACCGCCCCGGATGTCTTCATCGGCAATCTGTGCATGCGCGATCGGGACGCGCGATCCCGTTGTAAACTGCTAGTAAAGGTAAGTAGAACCCACTCCTGGCTACAAGGGAGTGTGTTTGCAGAGGGAAGGAGAAAGGGAGGAGGAGGAGAGGGAGGAAGAGGAGGAGGATTGTAGAGTCCATGTGCTCTCTCAGCTTGGTGGTTTTCTTGCAGACCTTTCTGGACCCAACTAGGTAACGTCATCAGTGCTACAAGGGAGTGGGTTTGCAGAGTGAAGGAGAAGAGGAGGAGGAGGCGGAGGAGAGGGAGGAAGAGGAGGAGGATCGTAGAGTCCCTGTGCTCTCTGAGCTTGGTGGGTTTTTTTGCAGAAGTTTCTGGACCCAACTAGGTAATGCCATCAGTGCTACAAGGGAGTGGGTTTGCAGAGTGAAAGGGAGGAGGAGTTGGAGGAGGAGGAATTGGAGGAGCGGGAGGACAGGGAGGAGGAAGAGGATTGTAGAATCCATGGTGCTCTCTGAAATTGCAATAACAGAGTTGGAAGGGACTTTGGAGGTCTTCCAATCTAACCCCCTGCTCAAACAGGAGAGCCTATACACAGTGGTGGGATTCAAATAATTTAACAACCGGTTCTCTGCCCTAATGACCAGCTGGGTAGGCGTGGCTCAGTGGTCATGTGACCATGTGGGCGTAGCCAACTCAACATCACTCACGTCAATGGGCGCTTCACCTTAGCTGTTACAATGTAGTAAGGGTTAATCGGAGAGGCAGTTTCTGTAAGCAGGGCAATAAAGATTAGGCTAGAAATAACACCAGAATGTTTCCTTCCTGCCTTCCTTACAGGATTAGCCCTGTAAAGTGGAAAAAAACAAAATAAGATTTATTTCAACAACCGGTTCTCGGAACTGCTTAGAAAGTTAACAACCGGTTCTCCCGAATAGGTGCAAACTGGCTGAATCCCACCGCTGCCTATACAGGAACTTACAAGGCACTGGGGAAAAAAAAGTGAGTTATGACCATTTTTCACACTTACGACCTCTGCAGAATCCCCATGCTCGTGTGACCAAAAATTCAGGCGCTTGGCAACTGGCTCATACTTATGACCGTTGCTGTGTCCCACGGCCAGGTGATCACATTTTGCGACCTTTTGATGAGCAAAATCCATGGGGAAGCCAGATTCCCTGAACAGCTGTGAAACTAACTTAGCAAACGTCGTGATTCACTTAACAAGTGTGGCAAGAAAGGTCGTAAAATGGAGCAAACTCACTTAACAAATGGCTCATTTCTGAAGAACAGAAATTTTGGGCTCTATTGTGGCCATAAGTCAAGGACTACCTGTACTATTTCAGGCAACTGACTGTTGTAAAAAGTCTCTTCATAAAAACCTCCAGTGTTGGAGCACCCACAATTTCTAGTGGCCAGTTGTTCCACCGGTTAATTTTTCTCCCTGTCAGGAAGTTTCTCCTTAATTCCAGGTTGCTTCTCTCCTTGAATAGTTTCCATCCGTTGCTTCTTGTCGTGCCTTCAGGGGCTTTGGACAATAAGTTGAACCCCCCACTTCTTTGTGGGAACCCCTCAGATATTGGAAGACTGCTACCATGTAGAAGAAGTCGTATTAATAAACCTATATCTTTAGAAGAGAGCCAGGTTAATTCCTGGCTGATATCCTTAATTACTCATCCTGATGACTCATTGCAACCAATTCTACAGAGACTTCTCCAGCTGCTTTGGGATGAGAATGGAGAATGGGGTACGTACCTCAGGGTATAGTCTTAAAAAGTCAAAATGCCAATCATCATGATGCGATCAGAGCTCTGCCTGCCTTTAAGGTACGTCTGGAGGCTTTCTGTTATAATTCCCTACACCAATAAAGAGTCTTCTAAAATCACCGCTGTGGCTGATTTTTTTTAAATCTTATATTCATATTTTATATGTATGTTATTTTAACTGTTCACCGCCCTGAGTCCTTCGGGAGAAAGGCGGTATAAAAATTAAATAAATAAATAAATAAATAAATCTTTCAGTTTATCTCTATCACATCTTATACCAAACTGCATCAAGACAATTTTAAATTTTTACTAATTTAGTTACTTTTATTTATTTCAACCCCGCCATTATTTTTTTAAATTTGCCGGACTTGAACATTTTGACTCTACAAAAAAACCACCTTACTCGGAACAGCTTACATCCTCTGAAGATACCTTAACAGTTCCTAGGTCCTTGGTTAGGACTCGAGCTGCTGAGCTATTAACCAGCCTCAAAGGCTGTGAATCTCACTAAAGATTAAACAATAATAATGATATTAATTCAATTTGTATGCCGCCCCTCTCCGAAGACTCAGGGCGGCTCACAATGCATTTAAAATCATTATAAAAAACATTTAAAAATTAAAAACATTAAAAACAATTAAAACCCATTCACACCATTCATGGCCGGATCTCGCCAGATCACAAGAGCGAGATCAACGGCCCCAGGCCTGCTGGAAGAGTCAGGTCTTCACCGCTTTCCGCAAGGCCAATAGGGTGGGGATGGTCTGGACCTCAGGAGGTAACTGGTTCCAGAGAGCCGGGGCAGCCACAGAGAAGGCCCTCCCCTGTGGGCCCGCCAGCCGGCATTGTTTAGCTGACGGGACCCGGAGGAGACCGACTCCGTGGGATCTTACCGGTCGCTGGGAGCTATACGGTAGAAGGCGGTCTCGAAGATACCCTGGCCCTGAGCCATGTAGGGCTTTAAAGGTAATAACAACACCTTGAATTGTGACCGGAGATCAATAGGGAGCCAGTGCAGCTCGCGGAGAATTGGTGTAATGTGGGTGTACCTAGGTGCACCCATGACAGCTCGTGCGGCTGCATTCTGGACCAACTGTAGTCTCCGAACACTCTTCAAGGGCAGCCCCATGTAGAGCGCGTTGCAATAATCTAACCGTGAGGTGACAAACACATTCCTCTTTCTAGTTTATCCACAACAACAACCCTGCGAGGTGGGTTATTGAACTGTGAGACGGGGATTGGCTCAAAGTCACCCAGAGGGCTTTCATGCCTAAGGCGGGACTAGAACTCACTGCCTACTGGTGATTGGCCCAAAGTCACCCAGCCGACTTTCATGGTTAAGGCAGGATTAGAACTCATGGTCTCCCACTTTCTAGCCTGGTGCCGTAATCACTAGAATCAAACTGGCTCTATTTTGATCTACATAAGAAATTGTATAAGATTTATAAGATGAAAGAAATGCTGAATTTTTTAGGTTTTCTTCTTTCTCAAAACTAAGTAACTCCTCCTCTTTCTATTGGACAACCATTTGTCTGAAAAGGTATAGGTGTCAACTCGCAAAGCATCCCTGGCCTGTCCTCGAGTTGCCATAGGCCAGTGGGGATGGGAAACCCGTGAAACGGCACGGCAGCCAAAGACAGATGCACATTCCATGCTTCTCTCTCTCAAGGCTGTATCCCAGGGTTACCCACAGCAGCCGGAGGGGAGTGACTCAAACCTGCGAAATTGATTTATGACCTCAATTGTGGCCATAAATCAAGCACTACCTGTACTGTAGGTCCATGGAGATTCTCAATCGTCCAGGTCATGGTTGCCCCAAAGGTGATTTTTCAAAAGCAACTGGATTTTCTTGAGTATTTTTTTTTCCTTGAAAACATTTTGCTTCTCATCCAAGAAGCTTCAATGTATACAAATTTTCACGGGCCCAGAAATCTTTGGGGGGGGTCGTGACTTGACTTCATGCTCAGAGGAACCTCAATGGCTAATGTGGTACCATACCTGACTGGTGGTTGAAGCCATTCCGTGTAGGAGGACATGTTCTCCTTCAGGTTCATGGTGGCTTTCCTGGCCACCACCCTCTCCGTTCTCTGCTGAGCTCTCCGTGGTGCTGAAATCTTCTCCAGGAGATTGCTCCATGCTTTGAATAGGTCCATTATCTGCTAGGTCACCCTCAGGCAGAGGTGAATCAGTCACCTGGAGTCCTCCATCCAGCTGACCCTAAAATATATGAATATCCAGAAGATGAAAAAAAGGGAGTGTAAATCTGATATTCAACAAAATCTTAGATTTGAGAATGTTGTGGTAGCTTTGGGCCCATTTCTATATCGGATTACCTGGCATAAATCAATCCACGATAGATTTGTTTGAAAATAAATCCAGTTTGGGGGCACTGAAGATATCAATCTAACCATTTCCTTGTAGAAAGAGTGTAGAGTTTCTAAGACACTTCTTAACTGGGTGTATACCACACATTGAACTTAAATCCTAGCAAATCACTAGCGCTCACTTAACATGTCTCTCAAAACAAGCTACATTACAATAAAATCTTGATTCTAATAAGGAACTCAAGGGAAAGAACCATCTGTTATTGGGTGCGACTCACACTGTTGCCTTGCTGAGCAACAAAAATTCTCATTCCAGTTATGGTAGTGAGTCAAGGACTACCTGCATCAGGAATTTGAAAGTTGTGGGTATAAGAGTCATTGAGCATATGAGAACCTAACTAACAAAGCAACACAAAAGACCATTCATGCTTAACCTGATTACTGAACTAATTATTCTGTGTCCTCAGCTTCTTCCTTGAAACTATTTTTCAGGTGTTTGGAGAGTAGTAAACTACCAGAGTCACTTCTGAGAGAGGGGTGGCCATATAAATGTGGTAGACTGTTTGTTTGTTTGTTTGTATGTGTGTTTGTTTGCTTGCTTGGATGGATGTTTGTTTGTTTGGATGGATAATTGGATGGATGAATGGATATTTGGATGGATGGATGTTTGTTTGTTTGGATGGATAATTGGATGGATGGATGGATATTTGGATGGATGGATGTTTGTTTGTTGGATGGATAATTGGATGGATGGATGGACAGACGTGTTTATTTGTTTGTTTGTTTGTTTGTATAATTGGATAGGATGGATGGATGTTGGTTGGTTGGTTGGTTGGTTGATTAGTTGGAGGAACGGAAGGACAAATGGACAGACGGATGAACAGATGAATGTTTTTTGTTTGTTTGTATGGATGTTTGTTTGTTTGTTTGTTTGTATGGATGGATGGATGGATGGATAGATGATGGATGGATGGGTGATTGTATGTATGTATGCTTGTTTGTTTGGACGGCTGGATGGCTGGAGGATGGCTGGATGGGTGATTGAATGTTTCTATGTATGTATGTATGGTTGGTTGGTTGGTTGGATGGATGGATGTTGGTTGGCTGGTTGGTTGGTTGATTAGTTGATTAGTTGGAGGAACGGAAGGACAAATGGACAGATGGATGAACAGATGAATGTTTTTTGTTTGTTTGTATGGATGTTTGTTTGTTTGTTTGGATGGATGGATGGATGGAGGATGGCTGGATGGGTGATTGTATGTTTCTATGTATATATATATATACATGGTTGGTTGGTTGGTGGTTGGATGGATGGATGGATGGATGTTGGTTGGCTGGTTGGTTGGTTGATTAGTTGATTAGTTGGAGGAACGGAAGGACAAATGGACAGACGGATGAACAGATGAATGTTTTTTGTTTGTTTGTATGGATGTTTGTTTGTTTGTTTGTTTGGATGGATGGATGGAGGATGGCTGGATGGGTGATTGTATGTTTCTATGTATGTATATATGGTTGGTTGGTTGGATGGATGGATGGATGGATGGATGGATGGAAGATGGATGGATGGGTGATTGAATGTGTATATGGTTGGTTGGATGGTTGGATGGATGGATGGATGGATGGACAGACATTTGTTTGTTTGTTTGTAAAATTGGATGGATGGATGGATGGATGAATGGATGTTGGTTGATTGGTTGATTAGTTGGAGAAACGGAAGGACGGATGGACAGATGGATGAACAGATGAATGTTTTTTGTTTGTTTGTATGGATGTTTGTTTGTCTGTTTGGATGGATGGATGGATAGATGATGGATGGATGGGTGATTGTATGTTTCTATGTATGTATGTATGGTTGGTTGGTTGGTTGGATGGATGGATGGATGGATGGATGTTTGGATGGATGGATGGAAGATGGATGGATGGGTGATTGAATGTGTGTATGGTTGGTTGGTTGGTTGGTTGAATGGATGGATGGATGGATGGATGTTGGTTGGCTGGTTGGTTGGTTGATTAGTTGATTAGTTGGATGAACAAAAGGACGGATGGACAGACGGATGAACAGATGAATGTTTTTTTGTTTGTTTGTTTGGATGTTTGTTTGGATGGATGGATAGAGGATGGGTGGATGGGTGATTGTATGTTTCTATGTATGGTTGGTTGGTTGATTGGTTGGTTGGTTGGTTGAATGAGTGGATGTTTGTTTATTTGGGTAGGTGGATGTTTCTTTGTATGATTGGTTATTTGGGTGGATGTATATACATGCACATACAGCGGGGGGAGAGAGAGAGAGAGGGAGAGACAGACAGATAGACAGAGAAGGCGATCATGATTTCCTTCACTCTTCTATTCTCAAAGTCAAAACCATCTGCTTCCTTCAAACCTCTCTTCTTCTAAAACTTAATTTCTAGCCCCCTGATCATCCCCATCCTCCTCCTTTAAACCTCTCCCCGTTACTATAAATCCTTTCTCAGTGGTGCCCACTAACATGATGTTCAAGCTGGTGTCTGAGCAAAGCAGGAGAAAGGAGAATAAGGCATGCTCCTCAAGTCAACCAACCCGGAGAGTGAGAACTGAGAAATTTTGCATAGAACTTAAATTCAGCCAAGAGAAAAAGGAGAAAAAGAAAGGAGACGACAGAGGAAGAACCAGGAGGATGGAGTGGAGTTTGGAACAGATTGCGTCCAGATTTTCAAGTGGGATTTCTGGATCAGGAGATCAGGATCTGGATCTTACCTGCTGGGTGCACCATATGTTACTTTCTTGGCTGGTTTCAGCTAGAGATTGAGTGAGCTCTGGGGTTGAAGCTCCTGCCCCAACGGCAGCACCATTCCGAGTCCCATTGACCAGAGGAGATATTCCTTGCCATGGGTCTTCCTTTCCAAAGGCAAAAGGGTCTTTGAGGTCCTCTTCCCTCTCACCACCTTCTGGTTCAGTCTCTCCTAAAGTGTCTTCTGGTTCCCCGCAGCCCCCTTCTTCTTCAGCCGTCAATTCGGGGTCTTCAACTAGAACAAAGACACAACCGGTGGGATGAATATCAAAGTCTCAAAGGCGATTTTTTCCAAAAGGCAACTGGACCTCATTGGTTCATATTTTTTTTCCTTCAAAACATTTAGAATAGAATAGAATAGAATAGAATAGAATAGAATAGAATAGAATAGAATAGAATAGAATAGAACAGAACAGAACAGAACAGAACAGAACAGAACAGAATAGAATAGAATAGAATAGAATAGAACAGAATAGAATAGAACAGAATAGAACAAGAGTAGAGTAGAGTAGAAAGAATAGAGTAGAGAGTAGAGTAGAGTAGAATAGAATAGAATAGAATAGAATAGAATAGAATAGAATAGAATAAATAGAATCGAATAGAATAGAATAGAATAGAATAGAATAGAAATAGAATAGAATAGAATAGAATAGAATAGAATAGAATAGAATAGAATTTTATTGGCCAAGTGTGATTGGAATTTGTCTTGGTGCATATGCTCTCAGTGTACATAAAAGAAAAGATACGTTCATCAAGAATCATAAGGTACAACACTTAATGATAGTCATTGGGTACAAATAAGCAATCAAATCATATTAGGAAACAGCCAATATAAATTGTAAGGATACAAGCAGCAAAGTTACAGAAGCTTCTTCAGTTCTGAGAAGCAAAATGTTTTCAAAGAAAAAAAAATGAACCAATGAAGTCCAGTTGTCTTTTGGAAGAAGAACCTTTGGGACAACCTGGATGATTGAGCATCTTCCTAGACTTCATGGTTGAGGATAGCATGTGATAATCACATCCTCTAACCTAAGATTCTGCTTTCAAGTCATCTTTGAGGCTCAGCTATCCATGCCTCTCTCAACACTCTGGGACATGAGATCGAGAATGGCCTCTATTGACATGTGGCAAGGTTCAACTATGAAACCATGTTGCCCTGGGAAGCTGAAGGAACCATCCTTCTGCGAAGAACTTCTCCTAAGGCTCACTCTTTCCATTGACCTCATCCTGTGGGTGCAACATTGGTGTCATTCAGGTTGAAAATGCCACTGGGTGACATTCAAATATGTTGGCTTCTTTGTTGCATGGAACTTCATGCTACTTGTCATATTCATCAATATCCCAGATTCACATGGCTGTTTGGGGTTTTTGAGATATCCTTTCAGTAACACATGTGGATTTCCCTTCCGAAAACATACACGTAGTAGTAATACCTTACTATATTTTGGGGCCTGGAAAATCTTATTCTCTTGGGCTTCTAATAGTATTAACCTTGTTAGGATATGGTTTGAGCCTAACTAATTGTCCAGGCAATATAAGTGTACTGTAACTTTAATCTGTAAATGTATTATGTGACTTTAATGCTGAGTCATGCTGTAATTAGGTAATGACTGGTTGTGAGAGTATTTAAGCAAGGTACTGTAACGTATTCAGTTTGATGATGAGATGATGAGACGATGAAGCTGATATGATAAGCTACTATTGAGAGGAGTTGCTATCTGCTAATCATCGTTGGATGGATCTGTTACCATCGTGGTTTGTGAACCAGAGTGAGTTTCTCATTCTAACCAACTACTGTTTGTTGGGTAAGAAGATTCTGTAACTACTGGACTGATTTAACTGGCAAAGACTTGGAATTTGTTTAAAGACTATGAGACTGTTTTTCTACTATAAAGTAAGCTTTTGATAAACCAGTTTGCATAACTCTTATTCATTGCTCTCAGCAACGTTTCCTTGTGCATTTACTCTGCTGGTTGGTAACACAACACCAATATCCTTAACAAACCTTGAGACCATGATTGGCTAAATCAGTGTTTCTCAACCTTGGAAGCTTGAAGAGGGGTGGACTTCAACTCCCAGAATCCCCTAGTCAGCGCTGCTGGCTGGGGGATCCTGGGAGTTGAAGTCCACCCTTCTTCAAGCTTCCAAGGTTGAGAAACACTGGGCTAAATAGAATACAGAATAACATAGTTGAAAAGGACCTTCGAGGTCTTCTAATCCAACCCCCTGCTCAAGTAAGAGACCCCATATCAGGGATGGACGACTATAGCTCCTTTACAAGCTGTGGATTTTAATTTCCCAGAATTCCTAAACCGGCCATGTTGGCTCAGGAATTCTGGGAGTTGAAGTCCTCGGTTCGTAACGGGTCCATATGTAGTTCCCCATCCCTGCCCTATACCATTCTGGGTTGTCCACTCTATTTTTGAAAACCTCCAGTGTTGAAGCCCCCCACAACTTTTGGAGGGAAACTGTTCCACTGATTAATGGTTCTCACTGACAGGAAATTTCTCCTCAGTTTTAGGTTGCTTCTCTCTCGGATAAGCTTTCCATCTATTACTTCTTGTCCTGACTTCAGATGCTTTGGGTGAAATGTTGAAGTGGTTTACATCTTCTTAATTTTCATTTTTAATGCCTGAAAGGCTTTCTCATCACTGAGAACGATGAACCATTAATCGTTTTCCGAAGCACCCGAAGGCCAGACAAGGAATAATGGATGGAAACTGACCAAGGAGAGGTTCAACCTAGAAATAAGGAGAAATTTTCTGACAGTGAGAAGCAATCCACCGATGGAACAGAAGTTGCCTTTGGAAGCTGTGGGAGCTTCACCACTGGAAGCTTTCAAGAAGAGACTGGACGGCCATCTGTCAGGAATGGTGTAAGGTCTCCTGCTCGGGCAGGGGGTTGGACTAGATGACCTACAAGGTCCCTTCCAATTCTGTTATTCTCCCAGAATTGTGAGTGCTCCATCACTGGAGGTTTTCAGGAAGAGACTGGACAGCCATTTGTCTGAAATGGTATAAGGACTCCTGTCTTGAACTAGATACAGTGATGTCTAACCTTTTTGCCGTCGCGTGCCAAGAGGGGGGGAGGGGGGGTCACGTGCACGTGTGCCCACACCCATAATTCTATGTGCCCCACCCCCACGCATGCGTGCGCTCCTGGCACATGATGGCCCGGTAGGCCTGTTTTTCTTTCTCACCTGGCTCCAGGGCCTCTCTGGGCGTCTGGGGAGGGCCAAAACAGCCTTCCCCACCCCACCGGGAGGTCCCACCAGAAGTTGTCAAACCGGGTATTTTGGGCCTCCGGGGTGGGGGGGAGGCTGATTTTGCCCTCCCCAGACTCCTAGAGATGCCCTGGAGCCAGGTGAGAAGGAAAAACGGGCCTTCCCCACCCCTCCCCAGGCCATCCAGAGGCAGGAAACAGCCTGTTTTCCTACTTCTGGTGGGCCCAGAAGACGCGAAAAAGGAGCTGAGCTCGCGTGCCCACTGATATGGCTCTGCGTGCCATAGGTTCTCCATCACGGGACTAAAAGATCTCCAGGGTCACTTCCAGCACTATGATTCCATGATTCTATGACCTTTAATGAAATCCAGTTGATAGAGGATTCGTTCCTCGGCGTTGAAATCCACCGTGTAGTGTTCCATGTTGTCGTATCCTGGTTCCAGAACTTCTGGTTGGCAGGTGTCAGTCATCTCCACAATCCTGGTAGGAGGAGGCACAAAGTTACAAGTGGAAATCTTTGATTTTTTTGTTTTTCGATTCCCATGGATATTATTTATTTATTTATTTATTTTATTCAATTTGTATACCGCCCTTCTCCTAGTGGACTCAGGGCGGTGCACAGCCAGAACTAAAACACATACCAATACAAAATTTAAAATTTTTAAAAGAATTACATGACTTTGGCCCAGAATTTAAAACATTCAAATTATATTATAAGAGAATAAATCATACTCACTTTCGGATGAGAACTTTGGCATTCTGATATATTGGGAAAAAGAGACAAAAAGAAGATCAATTCCCCCCCAAAAAAATTCATTAAGAAAAACAGCGTGAGAAAGGACACAGGTAATCCTTGACATAGAACCATTCATTTTAGTGACTGTTCAAAGTTCCAACCACACTGAAAAGACTTATGACCGTGTTTCACACTTACGACCATGGCAGCATTCCCGTGGTCACATAATAAAAATTCGGATGCGAATTCGGTCTCATATTGAGGACAGTTGCTGCGTCCTGGGGTTTTGTGATTCCCCTTTTGTGACCTTTTTCCCCAGCCAAGTCCATGGGGAAGTCAGATTCATTTAACAACAGTTTGGCTAATTTAACAACTGCAGTGATTCACTTAACAACGGTGGCCAGGAAAGTCGCAAAATGGGGCAAAGTCACTCAACAAATCTTTCACTTAGCAAAGAAATGTTGGGGTCTATTGTGGTTGTAAGTCGAGGACTACATATATCTATATCTATATATCTATATCTATCTATCATCTCTCTCTCTCTCTCTCTCTATTTATTGCTATCTACTGTATCTCTATCTATCAATTATCGATTTATCATCTATCTATCAATCTCTATCCATCCATTTCTCTCTCTAATTATCCATCCATCTCTCTCTATTGCTATTGATCTATCGATATCTATCTATCTATCTATCTATCTATCTCTATCCATCTCTCTCTCTCTCTCATCTATCTTTCTATCTATCTGTCATCTCTCTATTTATCTCTATCTATCCATTGCGCTCTCTATCCATCCATCCATCCATCCATCTCTCTTTATTTATCTATCCATATCTATCCCTCTCTCTCTCTATTGTCTATCTATATCTATCTCTCTATCTCTCTATTTATCTATTTATCTCTAACTATCCATCTCTCTCTCTCTCGATCTATCCATCCATCCATCCATCCATCTCTATTTATCTATCTCTATCTGTCATCTCTATTTATCTATCCATCTCTCTCTATTTATCTATCTCTATCTATCTATCTCTATCTGTCATCTCTCTCTCTCTATTTATCTATGTCTATCTATCCATCTCTCTCTCTTTCTCGATCTATATCTATCTATTATCTATCTATCTCTATCAATCCATCTCTCTCTCTTTCTCGATCCATCCATCCATCCATCCATCCATCCATCCATCCATCTCTATTTATCTATCTCTGTCTATCTATCCATCTCTCTCTCTCTCTGTCATCACTCTCTCTCTATTTATCTATTTATCTCTATCTATCCATCTCTCTGTTTCTCGATCTATCCATCCATCTCTATTTATCTATCTCTATCTATCCATCTCTCTCTCTCTCTCTATCCCCCCTCCCCCCTCTGTATCTACTGCTGCTTTCAAGGGCACTTACCTGGACAAAAACGGACATCTGAGGTTCTTCCATGGATTGAAGGGCTGTGTCAACCAGCTTGGAAGAAGTTTCGATGTGGTCACTGCATCCTTTGCTCAGCCCGTTCAGATGCTGGGCCTTGCTCTCCTGTTCATACGTGATCCTCTGAAGCATGATCTTCCTCCGTTCTTCCAGAATTGCCCCCATGCGGTCAAACTTCTCACACAGCGACCGCTTCTGAGCTTTGCAATTTGCCTGCTCGAGAAGAAAGGATCAGGTGCTACATCCAGGTTAGAGGGTCTAGCCCAGGGGTGAAATGCTCCTGGTTCGGACCGGATCACTCGATCCGGTAGCGATGGAGGCGGGTGGTTCGGAGAACTGGTAGCAAAAATCCCTGCCCCACCCCCCATGCCCAGCTGAGCCACACAATCATCAGAGGCTTTTTTTTTTAATTTTTAAAAGCATTTTTTCTACAACCTCTTTGGCCAAAAAAATGCTTTTAAAAGTAAAAAAAAAAAAAAAAAAGCCTGATGATCACGCGGCTCAGCTGGGATCGTCAGAGCCGAAGAGGTGGTAGAAAAAATGCTTTTAAAAGTAAAAAAAAAAAAAAAGTTGGCCATGCCCACCCAGTCACATTACCCCCGACCAAGCCACGCCCACAGAACCGGTAGTAACAAATTTTACATTTCACCACTGGTCTAGCCAGGCTAATAAACCATGGTTTGTTACCGAGATTAGGTTTGCCAAATACTACTACTTTGGTCAGGTGCAGGGGTGGGTCCCACTTACCTTTACTACCGGTTCGCAACGGGAGCGCAGCCATTTTGTGAAGGTGCCCACTACATATATTTGCGATCTAACCCCTGGTTTAAAAAATGTGGAGTTTCTTGTTATTTCTCAATATACTTTATTAATCCATCAGCATGCATAGCTTTCTAACCAGAAAGAGTTAGCATACTTTTAAAAATACATGATAGATTTTAATACATGATTTGTCCTGGAGGACAAATCATTTCCATGTATATATCTATACGTGGAAATGATTTGTCCTGGAGGACAAATCATGTATTAAAATCTATCATGTATTTTTAAATATATATATATATATATATAAGCCATTAGTATCATCACATTTGAAAAGCATCTAAATTCCACCTACTTGTTCCGGAGATTTATTTGGCTTCATTTGCTTAATTTTTTAAAAAGAGACGTATTTACAGTCAAATGAAGTAGGAAAATGGGAGGAAAAAAAACTTGAAAGGAACTCAGAGTGTTTGAAATTGCACTGGGGAAATGTTTTCCTCTTGGTACTTCCATAAATACTTGATTCATCCTGAATCACATCTAGAATGATGCCATCAAACAAATTTAGATAAAAGTCTTTTACACCTTCTATTTTTTTATATATCCTTACTCACTCCTCCTTTTATATCCAGCTTGTGGGTGAAGAAATACAGGTAATCCTTGATTTACAACAGTTCATTTAGTGACCAAACTTATAACGGCACTGAAAAAAGCGACTTATGTCCATTTTTCAGACTTATGACCATTGCAACATCCCCAGGGTCATGTGATCAAAATTCAGACTCTTGGCAACTGACTCACATTTATGACGATCGCAGTATCCCGGGGTCACGTGATCTCCTTTTGCGACCCTTCTGACAAGCAAAGTCAATGGGGAAGCCAGATTCACTTAATAACCGTGTTACTAACTGAACAACTGCAGTGATTCCCTTAACAACTGTGACAAGAAAGGTCGTAATATGGAACAAAAGTTATAAATTAACAAGATCGGTAAAATATAAGGAAAAGCAATATAAAATGTTTTACCGCTGGCATTTGGCTCCCTCAAGATGGGCAAAAATATATCCAAATTTGGCCCCAAATTGTGTTGTAGCCCATCAGCAGCCTGTGCAGCTAGTAGCCGATTCCGACAGCGAGGAGGCTGGTGTGGTGCTGCACCAGCAGCCTGTGCAGCTGGTACTCGAGTCAGACAATGAGGAGGCTGGAGAAGATGTGGTGCCAGAGGCGGAGATTCAGCCAGGGCCTTCAGAACCTCCAGAAGCTTCCATAAGTGAAGAGGAAGAAGAGGAGGAGCCTCTTCTCAACGCACGAGCACGCAGAGCTGCCCAAAGGCAGGAGTGGTTACTCAGGAGGAGGTCTCCTCGAGAGTAAGGCTTGGGGCTAATTGGCCACTCCCTTAGCCTATTTAAGGAAGGACGATGACTGAGGCAATTTGCAGGGAACAACTTCGTTCACTCTCCTTCGCGTCTTGATCTTAGTTCTCTGCAAATTGCTTCTGGGCTTTCTGCCAACCATAGTAAGATTACGATTATTTATTCTTTGGATTCTTGTAGGCTGTTAAGAAAGTTAATTAACAGCTTTTGTTTGAAAAAGACTTAATTTAATAAACTAAGATTTAATTTAATAAACTAAGGTTTGTACAGACTTTGTGTGTGCTGCGTTCTTGGGGTCCGTAGCTGGGGCAGAACAAATTGTTGGAAATGTGGACAGAAACAGGGTACCTTCTACCACTCATGGTGGCTGTGTCCCCATGAATCAAAAAAATACTGAAAAAAAATAAATAAAAAATTGGTTGCAAGAAATAACAGGTGTTCAATTAGAATTTGTACCAGAACTATACCTCCTGGGAATAATGGAAAAAACCTACGATAAGAAGACAAGACATTTGATTTTACATATAACAACAGCGGCGAGATTGGCTTTTGCGCAATGTTGGGAAAATGTGAAAACGTCCTCCAAAGATCAAATAATCAAAAAAATTTATGACTGTGCTGAAATGGACAAACTAACATTGAAACTGAAAGAAATGACAGACTCAGAGTACTATGTATCATGGTACAAGAAATGGTACGAATGGATTAAAAAGAGAAAGATGAAACAGGCTCAGACATAACAAAATTTGATGAAGTAAAATATATAGTTCATAATATATATTTTATAGGGATAAGTTTTGTAAATGGACACAGCTCTGCATAAAAAAATTGTTTTTTTATTTCTTTCTCTTTTGTTTTTCATCTTTTTTTTTCTTTTCTTTTTTTTCCTTTCCTTTTCTTTCTTTTTCCTTTCTTTCTTTCTCTCTTTCCTTTTTTTTATATATATATCTTTTGTATTCCTTTTGTGCGTGTGTGTGTGTTTCCTTGTATTTTTGTATGTATGTTTTTGGTTTCGTGTTCATTGAAAAATTAATAATGTTTTTTTTAAAAAAAGAAGAAAGCGTAATATGAATCACTTCACAAATCTTTCACATAGCAACAAAAATTCTAGATTCAATTATGGTTGTAATTCGAGGACTACCTGAACACTATACATAGTTCTCAACTTACGACCACAATTGGGACCAAAATTTCTATTGCTAATCAAGATGGTTATTAAGTAAATCATGCCTGATGGTTTCATTTAGTCCCTCGCAGGTGGGACTAGAACTCACCATCTCTGGTGATTGGTGCAAAGTCACCCAGCCGGCTTTCATGCCTAAGGCGGGACTAGAACTCATTTCTCCTCCACCTCCTCCTCCTCTCCTTCTCTCTCCCCTCTTCCTACTCCACTACTCCTCCTCTCCTCTCCCTCCCTCCTCAACCTCTCTCTCTCTCTCCTTTCCCTCTTCCTCCATCTTCTCCTCCTCCTCTCCTCTCCCTCTTCCTCCTCACTCCTCTCCTCTCCCTCTTCGTACTCACGTATTCCTCCTCTCCCTCTTCCTTTTCCTTTTCCTCCTCCACTTCCTCCTCCTCGTCTCCTCTCCTTTCCCTATTCCTCTTCCTCCTCTTCTCTCCTTCCTCCTTTCCTCTTTCCTCCTCTACCTCCTCCTCCTCTCCTCTCCCTCTCTCTTCCTCCTCCACCTCCTTCTCCACTCCTCTCCTTTCCCTCTTTCTCCTCATCCTCTCCTCTCCCTCTTCCTCTCCCATCTCCTCCTCCTCTCCTCTCCCTCCTCCACCTCTCTCCACTCCTCCTTTCCCTCTTCCTTCTCCTCCTCCTCTTCCTCTTCCTCCTTTTCTCCACTCCTCTCCTTTCCCTCTTCCTCCTCCTCTTCTCGTCTCTTTCCCACTTCCTCCTCCACCTCCTCCTCCTCTCCTTTCCCTCTTCCTCCTCCTTCACCTCCTCCTCCTCTCCTCTCCTCTCCCTTCCCTCTTCCTCCTCCACCTCATCTCCTCTCCTCTCCTTATCTTATCATCTGTAGCCTGGCCCACACCTTCCGCTTTGTGCAGATGTCTGAGAGTGGAGCTACTTCGCACATTCCTTGTGTTCCCCGAAAACCTTGCACAGGGAGCATGTGGGAACAGCGCACGTCACACAATAAATGTTGATCCTTTCTTCCTCGTGCTCTTCGCAAGTTGGGTGCTCGGTTTTCAACAGAGGTCTGTTAGAGAAGAAAGAAAAATATCAGGGGAAAAATATACGATGGGAGGAAGGATAGATCTCCCCAAGGTTCCCAAATCCCCTTTAATTCTGTATTGGGTCAAATCCGCTACCCACTTTTAGAGTCTCCCCAGATCTATGTTGGAAGAAATGTCCATCTGGGTTCAGTTCCAAGTGGGGAGAAAGACACCGGAAAACATGGTGACCGCTTGAAAAGATGGTTTTAATGGTGGACAGGATCACATGCCTTGAAGATCTTGGGCGGAAAAAAAAAAAGGGAAGAGATGCTGAGAGTGTCTGAGTTTTATACCCTCTCTGGGCTTTTGAATTTGAGCTTGTATTCTGATTGGTTGTCAGACTCCCATGGGGCCGTGCAGGGGCAACTTTGTAAGTTGTGTTTTTGAGTCCCAGGCTTGGTTGACTCTTGCTGGGTGATGATGTAATGAAAGAGCTTCTGGGGCGGTTCCTATTAATGCTCTGCCTGAAGGAGGTAGATCTTTGTTATGCACCAAGACAAATTCCTTGTGTGTCCAATCTTCCTTGGCCAATAAAAAAATTCTATTCTATTCTATTCTATTCTATTCTATTCTATTCTATTCTATTCTATTCTATTCTATTCCATTTCATTCCATTCCACTTCTCTCATTCTATTCTATTCTATTTATTCTATTCTATTCTATTCTATTCTATTCTATTCTATTCTATTCTATTCTATTCCATTCCACTCCACTTCTCTCATTCTATTCTATTCTGTTCTGTTCTGAATATTCTATTCTATTCTATTCTATTCTATTCTATTCTATTCTATATTCTATTCCATTCCATTCCACTTCTCTCATTCTATTCTATTCTATTCTATTCTATTCTATTCTATTCTATTCTATTCTATTCTATTCCATTCCATTCCATTCCATTCCACTTCTCATTCTATTCTATTCTATTCTATTCTATTCTATTCTATTCTATTCTATTCTATTCTATTCTATTCTATTCTATTCTATTCCATTCCACTTCTCTCATTCTATTCTATTCTGTTCTGTTCTGAATATTCTATTCTATTCTATTCCATTCCATTCCATTCATTCCATTCCATTCCATTCCATTCCATTCCATTCCACTTTCTCATTCTATTCTATTCTATTCTATTCTATTCTATTCTATTCTATTCTATTCTATTCTATTCTATTCCATTCCATTCCATTCCATTCCATTCCATTCCATTCCATTCCACTTCTCTCATTCTATTCTATTCTGTTCTGTTCTGAATATTTTATTCTATTCTATTCCATTCATTCCATTCATTCCATTCCATTCCATTCCATTCCATTCCATTCCATTCCACTTCTCTCATTCTATTTCTATTCTATTCTGTTCTGTTCTGAATATTCTATTCTATTCTATTCCATTCATTCCATTCCATTCCATTCCATTCCATTCCACTTCTCTCATTCTATTCTATTCTGTTCTGTTCTGAATATTCTATTCTATTCTATTCCATTCATTCCATTCCATTCCATTCCATTCCATTCCATTCCACTTCTCTCATTCTATTCTATTCTGTTCTGTTCTGAATATTCTATTCTATTCTATTCCATTCCATTCCATTCCATTCCATTCCATTCCATTCCATTCCACTTCTCTCATTCTATTCTATTCTGTTCTGTTCTGAATATTCTATTCTATTCTATTCTATTCTATTCTATATTCTATTCCATTCCATTCCACTTCTCTCATTCTATTCTATTTATTCTATTCTATTCTATTCTATTCTATTCTATTCTATTCTATTCTATTCTATTCTATTCTATTCTATTCTATTCTATTCCATTCCATTATTCACTTCTCATTCTATTCTATTCTATTCTATTCTATTCTATTCTATTCTATTCTATTCTATTCTATTCCATTCCACTTCTCTCATTCTATTCTATTCTGTTCTGTTCTGAATATTCTATTCTATTCTATTCCATTCCATTCCATTCCATTCCATTCCATTCCATTCCATTCCACTTCTCTCATTCTATTCTATTCTGTTCTGTTCTGAATATTCTATTCTATTCTATTCTATTCTATTCTATTCTATTCTATTCTATTCTATTCTATTCTATTCTATATTCCATTCCATTCCATTCCATTCCACTTCTCGCATTCTATTTTATTCTATTTTATTCTATTTTATTCTATTTTATTCTATTCTATTCTATTCTATTCTATTCTATTCTATTCTATTCTATTCTATTCTATTCTATGTAGAATAGACTGGCCCAGGCCTTAACGTCCCATTGACAAAGTGGGTGGGGGGGGCTGAGTTTCTGCCTCCCTCTTAGGAGAAATATTCTGTCCTTTTAATATTTCTTAAAATATCTCATTTTCCTAGGAGAGGGGTGGGTGCTAACTTCCCACATCTAGCCAGCTGGAATGACCTCTTGGTGAGATGGGTGGCCAACAAATTTAATCAATCAATCAATGAATTCTGCCCACATTTGGGGAAGAGCCATGGTGGCACAGCAGACTAAAGGGCTGTTAAGTAACACCAGCTGCCTGCAATTACTGCGAGTTCAATTCTCACCAGGCTCAAGGTTGACTCAGCCTTCCATCCTTCGAGGTAGGTAAAATGAGGACCCGGTGTCAGGTTTCGATGCTATCTCAAAATAAATGAATTTCCAGACTGCCGATCTTTAAGGAAATTTTCTCTTTATTTGAGCACAGCGATCTGATCCTGGCTCTTTCGCGGTCAGTACTGACCTTTGCCCCCCAATCCCTCCCTTTCCGATCCCCAATTCTCTGCTTCTCATTGGCTATCTTCCAAATCACTTTCCTGATCTCTGCTTCGTCAGATCACAGGAATGTCTCCCTCCTCTCCCATCTCTGAGGAGACAGAATCTTCAAAGGGATTCAGTAGGCAAAAGTTCAAGCTTCTCCCCTCTTTATATATGTCAGTGCTGGGATGCTGACACCCGGATTGTGGGGGCAATAAGCTGACTTTGTATAAAAAAGAACACCGCTTGGGGGGGGGGCGAAAGCCCTACTAAGCAGGTATATACAAAAGTATGAAGGCTATTGCTTAACGCATTGTAAGCCGCCCTGAGTCTCCGGAGAAGGGCGGCATATAAAACAAAACAAACAAACAAACAAACAAACAAACAAACAACAAACAAATAAATAAATAAATAAATGTGACATGAAAGGCCCCAGGAATAGCTGAGAAAGGCAGCCCACCTTTCTGGTCCCTTTGCTGACGCTTGTTTGTAGATGTCAATGATGTTCTCCACCAGCAGATTCCGTTGCAAGCCATAAATGCCGTGTCTGTCCAGGACAACTTCGTGGCGGCACGAAGGGCAGCGGAATCTCCCTGCAGAGCCCAGGGTTGTCCCTCGAGACTGTGGGGTGCAAGAGACCAGGATGATCAATACACCGATAGGTTAAGGGAGAGGACCGCTTGGATGCAGCTTTGTTGTGGAGTTCTCCGTGGAGCATTCAAGGGCAGTTGAAACCATCAAAATATTCGGTTGGTTAAAGCTGCATATTGGGAGGGGGAAGGGGGGAAGGAGGAGGAGAGGAGAGGGAGAGGGAGGAAGGGGAAGGAGAAAGAGGAGGAGGAGGAGGAGGAGAGGGAGGGAGGGAGGGAGAGGGAGGGAGGAAGGAGAAGGAGAAGGAGGAAGGGGCAAGGAGGAGGAGAAGGGGAGAGGAGAGAGGAGAGGAGAGGAGAGGAGGGAGAGGGAGAAGGAAGGAGAGAAGGGAGGAGAGGGAGGGGAGGGAGAGGGAGAGAGGAAGGAGAAGGAGAAGGAGAAGGAAAGGGAGGAAGGGGAAGGAGGGGAAGGAGGAGAAGAGGGGAGAGAGAGGGGAGAAGGAGAGGAGAGACAAAGGAGGAGGAGGAGAGGAGAGGGAGAGGGAGGAAGGGGAAGGAGAAAGGAAGGAGGAGAAGGAGGAGAGGGAGAGAGAGAGAGGAGAGGAGGAGGAGAGGGAGAGGAAGAGGGAGGAAGGGGAAGGAGAAAGGAAGGAGGAGAAGGAGGAGAGGGAGAGAGAGAGAGAGGAGAAGGAGGAGGAGAGGGAGAGGAAGAGGGAGGAAGGGGAAGGAGAAAGGAAGGAGGAGGAGGAGAGGAAGGGAGGGAGAGGGAGAGAGAAGGAGAAGAAGGAGAAGGAAAGGGAGGAAGGGGAGAGGGGAAGGAGGAGAAGAAGGGGAGGGAGAGGGGAGGAGAGAGAGAGACAAAGGAGGAGGAGGAGAGGAGAGGGAGAGGGAGGAAGGGAGAGAGAGAGGAGGAGAAGGAGGAGAGGGAGAGGAGAGAGGAGGAAGGAGGAGGAGAGGGAGAGAGGAGGGAGAAGGGGAAGGAGAAAGGAAGGAGGAGAAGGAGGGGAGGGAGAGAGAGAGAGAAGGAGGAGGAGAGGGAGAGGAAGAGGAGGAGGAAGGAGAAAGGAAGGAGGAGAGGAGGAGAGGGAGAGAGAGAGAGAGAGGAGGAGAGGAGAGGGAGGGAAGAGGGAGGAAGGGGAAGGAGAAAGGAAGGAGGAGAGGAGAGGAAGGGAAGAGTCCTGGTGGCGCAGCAGACTAAAGCACTGTTATTAACATCAACTGCCTGCAATTACTGCAAGACCACCAGAAGTCAGGAAATGGGCCATTTCTGGCCTCTGGAGGGCCTGCGGGGACGGGGAGGCCGTTTTTGCCCTCCCCAGGCTCCAGGAAAGCTTCTGGAGGGCAAAAAACCGGGCCTGCCAGGCCCACCGGAAGTCGGGAAACTGGTCCTTTCTGGGGTCCGGAGGCTTCAGGGAGGACTGCTAGGCCCAAAATGGGGAATGGGGGGGGTCGTGCATGCATGCACGGGGGGGGGGCAGGGGGCGTTGAATTATGGGTGTGGGCACGCGCACGTGCGCCCCCCCGCTCCCCCCCACTTTTGGCCGGTGACAGCAAAAAGGTTAGCCATCCCATTTCAGACCGATGGTTGTCCAATCTCTTCTTTAAAAATTTCCGGGTTACTTTTATCCTGTCCAATCAACTTTCCTCTTGCCTTTTCTTTGTTGTGTTAACTATAAAAAGGAGTGTGGGGGGGGAAAGGGGGGAGGGCTCAGGGCTCTCTCTCTCCTTTTTCCATAGAGAGACCCCACTTTATCAGGATACCCTAATAAACTGCTTTTAAACCATCTTCCGATTCAGTAGTTTACCATGTTAGAATGCTTTCTCCAACCTGCCTTGTATTCCCCCCCCCCGTCTCACATTTCAAAATCGGGGCACCTCGGGGAGCATCGCCAACGGTTCCAGAATTTGAGATACGCCCCTCTTCTTTGCAGCCCAGACCTCGCAAAGGTCAGTGGTTCAATGCTCGGCCCTCGGGGGTTTAGGAGGGGGGGCCTAAGTAGATCAGCTCCAGCAAAAGAGCATATTATTTCGGCAAGGAATCCAAGACCGACTGGAGCCAAGCCACGATATCCAATAATAGCGCAAAGGCAGGTGTCCGGTAATCCCCAAGGGGAAACGAAGAGCCAGAAAAGCAAAGCATTCATCGTCCTTCAGTCATTGTGACTTTGGGGCCACCACGAATGTCTGGGAAGAAATCTCGATGGTCTATATTGCCCACACGCAAAAAGGCTAAACTTGCGACAGGTCTCAATCAGATGTTAGTTTATTTATTTGTATCCTCCTGGCTTTAGTATTTTTATATATAACTTTGGCAAACCTATCCCAAAGAGGGGTGTGGGTGGGGTTGGGTGGGGGCTGTTATTATTTTAACCGCTTGTATCTTGGGTTGGTTGTTGTTGTTGTTAGGTAAGCAGCTCAGAGTTACTGAGATTAAGTGGGCAGCTATATAAATTCTCATAAAGAAATCCTTCGAGATGGGCTGGGCTGAGAGAGAGAGAGAGAGATGAGAGAGAGAGAAGGGGGAGAGGGAGGGAGGGAGAGGGAGAGAGGGTGATGGAGGGAGGGAGAGACGGAGAGAGAGGGAGAGAGGGAGGGAGGGAGAGGGAGAGAGGGGGACAGAGGGAGGGAGAGACGGAGAGGAGGGAGAGAGGGAGGGGGGAGAGGGTGGGGGAGGGAGAGGGAGAGGAAGAGAGTGGGAGGGAGGGAGACAGGGAGGGAGGGAGAGGGAGAGGGGAGGGAGAGAGGGAGGGGAGACAGAGGAAAAGACAGAGGGGAGAGAGGGGGAGGGAAGGGGGAGGGAGGGAGAGATAGAGAGGGAGAGAGTGGGAGGGAGAGGGGGACGGAGGGGAGGGAGGGGAGACAGAGAGGGAGGGAGAGGGAGAGGGGGAGAGGGAGGGAGAGGGGGAGACTGAGGAAAAGACAGAGAGGGGAGAGAGGGGAGAGGGGGAGTAAGGGGGAGGGAGGGACAGAGGGAGAGACAGAGAGGGAGAGAGTGGGAGGGAGACAGGGAGAGGGAGGGTGGGAGAGACAGAGAGACAGAGGGGAGGGAGAGGGGGAGGGGGGAGGGAGGGAGACAGAGAGGGAGGGGGAGGGGGAGAGAAAGGGAGAGGGAGGGTGGGGGAGACAGAGAGAGAGACAGAGAGGGAGAGGGGGAGGGGAGGGGGAGGGAGGGAGACAGAGAGGGGGGAGAGGGAGAGGGGGAGAGGGGAAGGAGAGTGGGAGAGAGGAGGGAGGGAGAGATGGAGGAAGAGACAGAGGGAGGGGGGGAGGATGGGAGAGGGAGGGACGGAGGGAGAGACAGAGAATGGGAGGGAGACAGAGAGGGACGGAGAGGGGGAGGAAGGGGAAGGAGGGGGACAGAGAGGGAGGGAGAGGGGGAGGGGGAGAAAGGGAGAGGGAGGGGGAGACACAGAGAGAGAAGAGAGGGGGAGAGAGGGGGAGGGAGGGAGGAGAGAGAGAGCCAAGTCACCCTGCTGGCTTTCATGTTTAAAAGTCGGTCTAGAACTCCTGCTTTCTAGTCTGGTGCCTTAAAGAGTAAACTGACAGTAAAACAGTAAAGGGGCGGGGCTTGACTAGGAAGAGTGTGGCTGCCATCTTGGATATTTTTTGACCACAAATGGGGATGTCTCTGCTCCAAGAAATACGGAAATGTATAATAGGTTTTCTTAAAGCATCAAATATGACAAATAAATTGACTTTGCTCCTTGGGGTTGGCTGTTTCTTAACCTTGGACCTTTGAAGGGGCGTGGACTTCACCTGTCCATCACCTTCAGGCTGCCACGTCTTAATGCAAAAAACACAATCGTGCCCCTTTCCAACGGCGTTATAAGATCAGTGTATTTAATTTCAGAAGGCATCCTTCTCATTCGGAAGTATCTCATCCTTCTCATTTGGAAGTATCGCTTCCGAATTTTAGCCATTTTAAGATGGGTGGACTTCAACTCCCAGAATACCTCAGCCAGCATTGCTGGCTGAGGTATTCTGGGAGTTGAAGTCCACCCATCTTAAAATGGCTAAGGTTGGGAGACACTGATCTAAAGTTTCTCTGGGCTGTAGGAACACAATCGTTGGTCCCCGATCCCTTTTTCTCCTTTCCTAATCTGCTGAATTTCTGTTTCCTGCTTTTTTGAGGAAGAAATACATAAAATTCAGTCTAAAGTAGACTTAATATTGTGGGTTTTTTTTTTTTAAAAGGACAACTGTACCTATCCTCTAAAGAACAGACTATCCTCGTCACCCAAAAACACATAGAATACAATCCCAACCACCCGATTCTCCCATCCGCAGTGATCCTTGAAACCTCTGAAGGCATCTTCCCAACTCCCTAAAGGGCGTTGACCCAACTCTGCTCTCCAATTCTGAGAGTCAACGGCGCCACGTTGAGAAACATTTCCATTTAACCTGCTTTGAAAGGTTGCCCCCCACCACCCCACAACTAACCTGAAAAATGTCATTGGCACATTTCCGGCAGAGGTTGTGCTGACACGGAAGAATGACCACAGGTTTGGTGAACATCTCCAAGCAAATGGGGCAGATGAGTTGCCTCTCCAAGTTGTCCATGGTGGGACAGTCTCTTGGGCAGGAGGTGTACTCCATGTGCTTCGACATGACCAGGGTTCGAGGCAGCCGTTTGTGGAGGTTCGCAGCTCCTTCTGTGTGTCCTGGTAGGACACGGCGGTGGGGAAAAAGCTGGAGAAGCCCAGAAGCACCTGACGGCTTGGGGTTCCCCAGGGATCTGCCACATGTTACTTGGAAGGCTCCAGAAATATAACTGTCGTGTGTCTCATGCGCCCCACCAGTGGTTTAAGTTTCGACTCGGTCTTAAAGGGCCATTTCAGCTCAGAGGCAAAAGTTGGTGTTTCAAAGGTGGAAGCCAGGATTAAAACTTTGGAAGGAAAGCCAGAGAGGACTAGGATTAGGGGTGACATGATAGCAGTCTTCCAATATCTCAGGGGCCGCCCCAAAGAAGAGGGAGTCAAGCTATTCTCCAAAAGCACCTGAGGGCAGGACAAGAAGCAATGGGTGGAAACTCATCAAGGAGAGAAGCAACCTAGAACTAAGGAGAAATCTCCTCACAATTAGATCAATCAGTGGAACTGCTTGTCTTCAGAAATTGTGGGTGCTCCCAACGCTGGAGATTTTTAAGAAGAGACTGGACAGCCATTTTGTCTAGGTGTCAAAAGTCAATTTCATTGTGGGCCGCATCAGGACTGTGGTTGATCTGGGGGGGGGGGAGGGGCTGGGGTGTATGGTCAACTGGGTGGGTGTGGCCAGCTTGATCCCACCCACTGGGTGTGGCCAACTGGGTGGGCGTGGCCATCTTGACGCCATTGCCCAAACTGCTGGCATGTTTCCTCTTCGCACTGGATAGACCGGGCCGAAGCCACGCTGGCCCGATGTTTCCTTTTTGCATTGGGTAGACTGGGCTGAAGCGACGTTGACCAGATCCTTACATTTTCCAGGATGGCCCCAAGGGCCGGATCCGACCACATCGCGGGCCGGATCCGGCCCGTGGGCCTCGTGTTTGACACCCCTGGCATAGGGTCTCTCTTGTTTCAGCAGTAGTTTGGACTAGAAGACCTCCAAGGTCCCTCCCAGCTCTGTTATTCTAAGAAACTCTTTCTGGTACATGGATGCAATCCGGTTCTTTTTTAAATCAGGTTACAGGTGGTCCTCGAATTACGCCACAATTGAGCCCAACATTTTATGTTGCTAAGCGAGAGATTTGTTAAGTGAATTTCAGGGGTGGGCTTCAAAAATTTTAGCAGGGGGTCCTCTACCCGTTTGCTGGGTGGGCGTGGCCTAGTCAGCCTCCTGCACCATGGCGGTGGGGGAAGGGCTGTTTTTGGCCTCCCCGGGCTCCAGAGGCTTTTCTTGAGCCTACTGGAGGGCGAAAACAGCCTCCCCAGGCTTCGGAGACCCTCTGGAGGCCAGAAATGGGCCTGTTTCCGGCCTTCCCAAACTTCCCGGTAGGCCCGTTTTTCGCCCTCCCCGAGCCTCTGTGCACGCCTTGCACTTATCTGCATCCAAAACAGGCTGCGTGGGGCCTCCTGGGAGGGGAGGGGTGGGCGGAGCCAGACAGGAGTGGGATTTGGGGGGTTCTCCGATCTGCACAGAATCTTAGCTAGAGGTTCTCCCGAACCCACAGCAGCCCCACCCCTGGTGAGTTTTGCCCCCATTTAACTGTTAGGAAATTTCTCCTTAGTTCTAAGTTGCTTCTCTCCTTGATTGGTTCCCCTCTGGCGCTAAAGGGGTCTGCAACGTTCTTTCCCGTCTGACTTGGGTGGACGGGCTGATGTGATGGGGGTGAAGATGGTTGTGTAGGTCACCTGGCCCTAAGCCATGTAGGGCTTTAAAAGTCACAACCAACACCTTGAAGGGAAGCTGGAAATAGACCTGCAGCCAATGCAGCTTGCACAGCAGAGGTGTTACATCTTTGGGGTGCCAGGATTGCCTGTGGGGTTGCATTTTGTATCAGATGAAGCTTCCAGAAAGTTTTTGAGGGTAGCCCCATGTAAAGTGCATTGCAATGGTCCAGTTGTTTTCTAGCAGACCTGGGTCACCTCCCACCAATGCCATTCCAGTTAGATTTCTTAATCCACACGATAGCAATAGCACTTAGACTTACCGTATTTTTCGGAGTATAAGACGCACCTACCTTTTTTGGTGAGGAAAAGAAGAAAAAGAAATCTGCCTCTGCCTGGGCGCAATTTTGCCTCCTTGCAGCAAACAGCAAACAGCCTGCTTTACTTTCATTTTCGTTTTCAGCATAGCTTGATTAGCACAAGGGGAAAAAAAATCTGCTCCAGCAATTTACCTCTTGCAGCAAGCAGCAGAGCCCTGCGCAAAACAGCTGAGAGCAAATCAGCTGAGAGTCAGAAGGCCGATCCAATCAACTTGTACTGGCTGTGCTGAAGCTGAAATGAGCTGTTTTTTTCTTGCTGTTTGCTTGCAAGGAGGTAACTGCTACGAGGCAGAGGCCCAAGGGTGGGGGCCAGTGGGTGGGCGGGGCTATATTCGGTGTATAAGATGCACCTAAATTTTCACCCTTTTAGGGGGGGAAAAGGTGCATCTTATAGTCCGAAAAATACAGTATATACCGCTTCATAGGGCTTTTACAGCCTTCTTTAAGCGGTTTAGAGCCAGCCTCTTGCCCCCAACAATTTGGGTCCTCATTTTACCAACCTCAGAAGGATGGAAGGCTGAGTCAACCTTGAGCAGGTCAGAATCGAACTCCTGGCAGTGGGCAGTTAGAATACTGCATTTTAACCGTTGCGCCATCACGGCTCCAAATCCAAGGTTGAAATTTGCAATTGAGACCTGGGAGCAAGGAATTTGGAGTGGCTGCTTTTTGGCTTTCTTTTGGAGAGAAATTTAAGTTAATTCCACTTTCATCCCCAAGGATGGAAGGAAGGAGCAATGTGAAGCAGAATCTTTCTCTTTCCTATAGTTTGCCTCTTTTCTCTTTAATTAAATCCCCTCTGTTTCATTTTAACTCAAGCTTGACTGGGATTTTGTGTTTTTCAGCCTCGGCAACTTTTAAGTTGTGAATGGACTTCAACTCCCAGAACTCTTCAGCCACTACTGGTAGTCCTCGACTTACAACCACAATTGAGTCCAACATTTCTTTTGCTAAGGCAGTTGTTGAGTGAATTATGCCCCGTTTTATGACCTTTCTTGCTACGGTTGCTAAATGAATCACAGCACTTGTTAAGTCAGTAACACGGTTGTTAAGTGAATCTGGCCTCCTCATCGACTTTGCTTGTCAGAAGGTCGCAAAAGGGGATTTACGTGACCCCCCAGGGACACTGCAATGGTCATAAATATTGATCAGATTACCACAATGGTCGTAAGTGTGAGAACTGGTCATAAGTCACCTTTTTTCCAGTGCTGTTGACACTTCGAATGGTCACTAAACAAATGGTTGTAAGTTGAGGACTATCTATACAATGAATCCAGCTACCACTTATATGAATTTCCTCTTCAATTAAAATCCATTTTGGCTAGAAAACGGCAAAGAAGAAAGAAAGAAAAAATGCAAATCAAGCCAAGGATTGGTGGGTTTTTTTTTTGCCATGAAAACATTTATTTTACAATCTTGGTTTCTGGTAATTTAGCAATCTTTATTTATTTATTTGTCACTTTTAAGTTCCTACTCAGACATACAATACATAAATTACCATGCTAAAACATAATAGAATTCCTTCTGGAACTGGAGGTATGTACAGGAGCTCAGGACCTGCGAGTGTTAACAATCCACAAAGTGCGTAAAGCCACAGCTACTTACATACAATTTAAAGGACGACCCTTTAAATAAACATAACAAAATATATATATATATATATTCTATGTATATATATATATTTATATAATTGCTTTTCAAATGCATCTATACTTTGATTGTTTTTTTCTTTTTTTTCTTTTTAATAATTAACTTTTTGTTTTTATTTATTTTTTATTATTTTTACTTTTTAACACGTTGGGATTTCCCCCTCCCACTTCTCCCACCCCGCAAATACAAGTGCAAAAAAACCCAAAAAAACCCAAAAAACAAAACAAAAAAAAAACCAACAACCATGGATTTCAAGAAGAGGTCACAGTAAAATCTAAAAATCGTCATTAAGTGAATGATGTGCACCTACCATCCGTTGGTGTTTCAGAGTCTTGTTTTTGGAACGTTACTCAACCCAACCAACACGCTAAAACAGATATACTGGCCAACTACCCCTTAGTCCAGGAATCTCCAATCTTGGCCACTTGAAGACTTGTGGACTTCAACTCCCAGAATTCATCAGAATTCATTGCTGGCTGAGGAATTCTGGGAGTTGAAGTCCACAAGTCTTCAAGGTTGGAGATCCGTACCTTAGTCCATCAAACCTCTTCCTTAAATACATGAGACCCCCTAAAATTGACTGAGAACTAAATTACTACTGGTAGGGAAATAAATTCACCCCCACCCCCCCAAAAAACAACAAACCTTAAGAAGAGCAGGCATATGAGGAAGGGATGATGACTGGAACAACTGCTCAACGAGATGAAGCTGGCATACATTCACACAGAGACATCCACACCCAACAAGAAAAACGGAACATCTGAAGGGCTGGTTGCTTGATCAGAGCTTCAGGTTTAGCTTTCCAGAGAGAGACATCATCTTTTTTAAAAATGGTTCAAAAGATCTCCAATGAAGGGACCTGCACGGTGCAGTTAAAATGATTGTGCTGATCGCCTCCAGTAAAATATTAAAAAAATATATGTCCTTTTAGGGTATTAAAGGGGTTGATGGTGGCTTTTTGGGGACAGAGAAGAAAATGTGGGGTCGGACAAGGGAAGGAAAGGGGTACAAGGTTCTCTGAAGACCTCTACTTTCCACTTGAGGGTTTTTCCCTGAATCAAACTTCTATGTGCCTATTTTAGCGTTCTCCCACACAGACGGCCTATGGATCCAGCCAAGATGAAGGTGGCCTAGTGGGGTGACCAAACCATAGAATCTTTCCACCAACCCTTGTCTGCTCTATCTGATAGCTTTATGGCCTTCAGAGAACTTGAAAAGGAGACCTTCGCAGGTGGCTGGAGGAAGTCCTCCCGGTTTCATTTGGATGGTGGTTGAGGATGGTGGGAGGAGTGAAAAAGCAGAACGCAATCTTTAAAGACAAGGATCACAATACCAATACTCCGTACATCTAATTCGCTGTTTCTTGGGTCATCCCTGAGGGCCTCCCTTTCATCATGAATTCTTCTGGAAAGCCCAGTCTTTTATTTAGCCATAAAAGAATCCTAATTCAGGGATGCTTGAGATCACAACCTCTCGTTCCTTCTTGGAGCATGAGCTGTAGAAAAAGGGTATTTGCAGATGATTGGCAGGGCGTTGAGCCAGGATTAGGCTCCAGATTTGACTTGGGTTCTGTCAAAGGGAGCGTTGGACTGGGGGAATGCTGAACTAGCACGCTAGGCGATTCCACGGGGTGTCTTTCCACGTACAGAGTCGGGGTTCTTATTATCCAAAGACTTAAAAGCAAAGGATGCTAAACTAAAACCACCACAAATTATAGCTGCTGCAAGTATAAGATAGGGCAAGGTATACACATGACTGCTTTGAGGATATTTACATAACGGTATCTACAACTATAAAACTCAAGAGTTACGTACGCGACTTAGGTTTTTAATGAAGTCCCTCAGCTTGCTAGTAAAAGCCCGTTATTCTTCTTATTCGTTTAAGCAAGGGCTCCTAATTTATGTAGAAGGGGGCGGGGGGGGAAGGGAACGGGAAGGAGGAAAAGGAGACGGAGACAGTGAAAGATAGAATAGGGGAAAAAAGGAAGGGAAGGTAGAAGAAGGGGAGAAGGAGAAGATGAAGACAAAGAAGGGAGAAAGAGAGAAAGAAAGAGGAGGAGGAAGAGGAGGAGGGGAAGGAAGATGGAGACAAAGAAAAGGAGAAAATGAATGAAATGAAGGGAGGAGGAGAAGGGAGATAAAAAGGGAGGAGGAGGGGTGGGGGGGAGGAATCAAGAGAAATTTGGCTACTCAAAGGAAGATCTGAATATGATCTGGATTAATTTTCAGGTTTAAAGATACATGAGCAATTTGCTAAGTGCAGAAGGCCAGAAAATTTAGCAGCAATATATGTGTTGGCAAGACTGCCAAATCAGAAAACAATGTGGGAAACCTATCATATTTAGTTGAATCAGAGAAAAAGAAAATGCAAATGTTATGTACTGGCAAAGTTCTGGCTTCAAATTCATTGGCACTAAATCTCACAGACTAGGATCAGTGGACTTTTTAAAAAAAGCATTTATGAATTTAGGCCCCTGTCTTGGATCTCTTTTGGCTTTCGAAGGGCAAGACCCCGGGTGCTAGGCTTCACCAAATGGATGACTGAAATACAGCTTGGCCATAACTCTAGGGAAAATTAATTCTGGGTGTAATAATACATTTTGGGCCTTATTTATACCTACCACCAACGCATTAATATCTATTGCCAAGATTTTCACAAAGTTAGAAAAATCAGAAGAAACAGCTGCTGAAGGTATTGTGGCAACCCACAACAGTTGGTAAATTAAAAACAAAGTCAAGCTACTGGGGGGAAAAGCTCAATTTGAATTTGCATCTTATCCATTATTGAAAAATCAGGGAAACCAGGCACCATGCTGAATTGAACACAGAACCTCTGCAAAAGATAGGTCAACTAATTTTAAAATCTCCACTGCTCAAGGCACAAATAACCATCTCTTGGGATTTTAACATTTGGGTTTGATTTAAAGAGAAAAAAAATCTATGTACTAACAAGATTTTAGAAACCTGTCTACACCAGGAAAGGGAATCTTTGGCTTCGACTAACTTTAAATTAAAGTACATCAAGACTCTTGAATGGAAGACAACACTGATTGGACGTCTAAATCTGGCTTTCATTTTACACTGGAGATCAAGATCCAGACTAATTAAGATCTGTGTACCTCCTGAATAGAATTAAAACAGTGTTTCCCAACCTTATCCATTTTAAGATGTGTGGACTTTAACTCCCAGAATACTCCACTGCTGGCTGGGATATTCTGGGAATTGAAGTCCACACATCTTAAAATAGATAAGGTTGGGAAACAATGAGTTAGAGAGGAATCAAAAAAGTTTACAAGAACATGATAAGGTCCTGCAGAAAAGCTTTAGCATAAAGAGAACACAAAGAACAGAATAAGACTTGCAATGTAATTACTAGAATGGCTATGGTAACATCTAAAACATGGGGGGGGGGGGGTTGTTTTCCAAATTTGGCTGTTTTAAGAGGTCTGGATTTCAACTTCCAGAATTCCTCAGCCAGAATGTTGGCTGGGGAATTCTACGAGTTGAAATCTGCCCTTCTTATAGTGGCCAGGTTTGAAAAACACTGGTCGAAAAACCCATCACCTGTTGAAACTCTTTCTGATTCATCTTAAATAATAACATGAAGGACATTTATAGGAAAAGACAAAATGACCACGATCCTACCATCGAAGCCCTGCCGGTGTCAAATGCACAACTTGTGTACCAAAGTGACAAGGGTTTGATTCCGAGACCGAGGACATGATTTTGACTTTTTTGATACCTTCTCCCACCGGATGCCCTTAAAATTCTACAAAGATTTAGGAAAGGAGCATGTGCCTGGATTATATATGAAAACAATAACAATGTTATAAGCCAATTAACAGATAAGAGCAGCTTGTTCCCAGTGATTCGGAATTACAGACCAGTAGGGCAAAACTATGCTAATGGACAAAACTGAAATCATAATCAAATTTCCTGCCTGAGAATGAGTGGGGTTTTGGGGGGGGGGTTGGCTAAATGTTACAATCTAACGTCCAAATTTTGTTCTGTCGGCCTCAAGTCAAGTGATTTTTGCCTTAGAAAAATCAAGAATAAACCTTAGCCACAGGAACACAGTGAGATTAACACCGGATTATCAACACTTCAGTCACGGTTTATACATTTGGCTATTTTATTTGGGATGATATGTGATAAACCGGATGAGGCTTCGGAAATTTATATATACGAATGAATTCATAAACTGCATTATTAATTAGAGTTAGTACGCATTTGCTCTCTACGACACACATATTTTGGCAAACCGACAGGGGATACCTCCAATTTTTGCGAGTGAACTCAAGAGGATAACTGAGCTAGAAGGGCAGTATCCAATTGGGCAATTTTAAGAAATGGGTTGGGTTTGCACATCATCCTTCAAATTATTTAAAAAAGAATCAACATTATATCTAGGTCCAGAAGGGGGAGAGGGAACCACAGAGAAGCATTTAAAAAGAAGTTGTAAAAAGCAAGGGAAGGGAAAATTCATCTACACCAGGGACCTTGGTGACTTTAAGACCTGTGGACTTCAACTCCCAGAATTCCCCAGCCAGCCAAGCATGGCTGGCTGGGGAATTCTGGGAGTGAAGTCCACAGGTCTTAAAGTTGCCAAAGTTGGACACCCCTGAGTTACACACAGAGTGGAACAACAACCAGACAGATTGACCGACTATTTCAAGTATTATGTGAGATAAAACTGTTGCCCGTTTAAAAAAAAAAAAGTGACCACCTTAAAATAGAGAACCTGCAAGAAGGTTCCCCGAAGCGCTTCCTAGAGTGAACGTTTTCACTTCGCGACGATTCAAACACATGCACAAATATACACACCGGGGAGCATTCAAACACGTAGCAGCCACGGGATTTCGTGGACACCCCCCCCCCCGAATGCAAAGTGGGAATGAGATTGTGAGACCAAAAAGAAGAGGGTGGGGAAGCGATCGAAGCAGAAGCAGCTGGAAAAAAAATAGGAGAGGTTCTGACCGATGCCTTTATTAACAAACTTAGTATATTGTACCGCAAAACTGGATGACAGAGGAAACTTTTGAGATGTCCGCTGCCTGGATGAACACACAACTTCCATTTGGGGTGGATTCTCCCACTCATCACAGAGAAAACGTTCAATAGAAAGAGCCCAACTGGAATTGGATCTAGCAGAACATCTGCAGAACATTTCTCCAAACCAGAAGTGTCCAACCTTGGGCACTTTAAGACCTGTGGACTTCAACTCCCAGAATTCCCCAGCCAGCATGGCTGGCTGGGGAATTCTGGGAATTGAAGTCCATTGGTCTTAAAAGGTTGGATATCCCTGCTCTACAGAGATACATAGAGGAGCAAGTGGGTTTTCTTTTTTTAAAAATTGCCATTTAGGCACACAACTCACACAATTCTACCACACACTGCTTCAAATATGTAAAGTACTGCATAATGAAGTTTAGACATTTGAGACGGACCGCTCCTGTTTTACAAAGGAAGGACTGAGGCAGAGAAAGAAACCAGCCCACCCACCAACCAGATAAATTCAGGCATGGACTCGAGGTTCATCCAGCCATCTCAGGTCCCACTCATTCTCCCACCTGCTCAGTTCTAGTCAGTTTCAATCTGATTCCTGCCCTGCAGGTTGGAAATGGGGGGGAAATGGTGGCCAATTCTACAATAGCCATCGCTGTCAGAATTGGGACCTGCTTAGATCGCTACTCCTCAACCTGGTGACCCTCCAGTTGTGTTGGGACTCCACAATCCCAAAATTCCCAGTCATGAACATTGAGCAAGGGAAGTGGGGGGGGGGGAGCTGAGTGACATTGCATGCATTAAGTCTGTCGAGGTGCAAAGGATGTGAATTATGTCCCTTACATCAGTCTCATGATACTATTGATAGCCACAATATCGCGTATCAGTGGCAGGGTGTAGAAATCAAGATGGTATCACCCAAGTCGTGAGCAATGGGCTCAGATTATATCAATGGACTGATGTCATCAAGGCATGTGTGACATCACTGCCATATGCTCCCAGAATAGGAAGTGAACACCGCTGGCTGGTGAATGTTGAGGGCTGCACCAACACCTGCCGGATAATGGTACTGATTTAAGGAATTGTGAGCCGGGTGGCCGCGATTATTTTAAAAAATAAATTAAAAATAAACCTATATATCCCTAGAACACATCGTCTATAAAGTGGACTTGATAAGATCTATTATTATTATTATTTTTAAAAAGAGAACCGGTAATTTGAGAACAATTGTCAGATCAATATATATATATTTAAAAATCTAAAAGTTGCTCTCAGATATCACTAACACTTCATTCCAATTGGGCAGTGAAAACATGCATTTGTACCCAAAAAAGCCCCAGCGGTTTAACTATAAATAGTTTGGGGGAATGCTTATTATTTTAAAATTTAAACAAAGAATAATGTGCATTTTAATTTAAAGAGATGATTCAAGTAATTTCTAGTTTCGTAGTTTAAAAAAAACCCCACTACTTTGGCCCTCTCCCACACAAGAAAACTAGAAAGAAAACATTGCAGAGGTGATCGCCCTCCAGAATTACAACTTCCTACACAGTAAAGAAGGTTGGACAAAATGCCTGTGAAGCCTCAAAGGGCTTTGAAAGAAGAAACGGAAACAACATTTCCAGAAAACAGCATTCTTTTCCCCCTTAAACTCCCCACTCCCCAATCCCTTCCTTGCAACGTCAGCCGTTTTCAAAATACAGTTATTGAGGCAAAAAAAATCAGGTACCAATGGGCAGGTGGGCAATCGGAAATCTCTGCTGCTCTCCAGTGGAGCAGGAAGGGATCGGTAGCTCAACTGTATGGAAGTTTTGTGGCTCCATTTGATCAATTTTCAAGTTCTCTTTGGAAAAAAAAAAAAGCCTCCTGGTTTGACTGCTTAAAATGCAGAATGTAACCGTCACACTCGTCATGATAAAACTCCTTAGTACATTTACAACACAAAAAACGTTTATAATGTAAACTTGACACATGCTATTCTTCCTTTTAAAAAACGGAACGGGGAAAACAACGAAAGGGGGGGGAGGGGTGAAAAAGAAGAAGAAGACTAAAGCTAAACAGGTTCAGATTCGGCATGCTACAGTACTTCCATGTCTCATTGAGATACGACACTGAAGGTGACAAAAAAGATGACGAGGGGATTACAAAATATTTGTCAGCAGGTTATGAAGCTGCCCAATTGACCATCGGCGAACGCCTTTCCCTTCCCCATAATCTATTCCTAATGTCCATGATTCTAGTGCTGGATTGGCCATTTAATTATTTATTCTTATCCGTTCGGGTTAAATAAGTGCTTCCTTATCTTAGTTAAATCCATCGGTGTGGTAGCTGGGGTGAGAATCTGCCGTGAGCTGAGTCGTCTCTGTGGCGGAGGCTGGCTGGATCATGATGGGGGCTTCGGTGTTCTCTGAAAAACAGACAGCACCTGTTTGAAAGCTGAACATCAAAAAGGATCTGGTAGCACCTGTCAGGGTTCCAAGTAATACACCCGTAACAAAAGAGAACTCCGAGGCAAGTAGGTTCCTCAAAGAACAGGTTTATTGGATATATCATATTGACACAGACTGGTGAAAACCGACTTTAAAGGTTCCCACGGTTTTCACCTAATTAAAAGTAAAAGTTTCCCCCTCTTTCTCAAACAACCAGTCACATGGTCCAATCAAAATGCTGTCTGGTTGCTTAGAAACTTCACTCCTCTCTTCAGCCGCCTGTGGGAATGTCCTTGGTTCTCAGGGGAAACTATTTTGTTTTGGCTATAAAACTCCAACTATCTCTATTCCTCCCTCCCTATCCCTCAGCAGCACTGTGGCACCACTGAGGCCTCTAAAATGGCCCCAGTCAGGCCAGCTTCAGAGTTAACAGCACCTTTCCTGACTGACATATTTTATTAAAAGTTTATTTAAGCATTAGTGGAATATACAAAGTGTCATCGTTGGTGGAACTGAGTATTTACCAAAAATTCCCGACCTAAATCTGGCTACTCAGATGGTACAGGTAGTCCCTGACTTATGACCACAATTGAGCCCAGAAGTTCTACTGCTGAGCAAGATAGTTATTGAGTTCTGCCCCATTTTACGACCCTTTTTGACGGTTGTTAAGTGAACCACTGCTGTCGTTAAGTGAATCTGGTTTCCCCATTGACTTTTGTTTGTCAGAAGGTCAAAAAAGGGGATCACATGACCCCAGGAGGGTACAAATACCATAAATATATGCTGATTGCCAAGTGCTGGAATTCTGATCATGTGACCACAGGGATGAGGCTAGTGAGAACAAATTACTATGACATTCTATTTTGAACATTCATTTTACAGATTTCACCTATTTCGTTTTTTTAAAAAAATTGTATCTACTTGAATGCTCAATTTATGAATTTGCTGTAATTTTTATATTAAGTGACTTACTGTCTGATGAATTATAAAGCTCTTAAGCAAGTCAACAGACGTAAAAAAAAATTGTCGATAATTCATGCAAGTAATTGGCTTAAGTACCTTAAAAAGAAAAGTTTTGTGCTACGATTTTTGGAAACAAAATGAATATAAAAATACAAGGGTAGATAGATAGTTAATTTTAGTCCTTTGACTGGATGCAGAGAGTGGCTGCATTGATGGAGGATCTAAATTTGGAGAGGGGAGGGGGAGACAGTAAGAAAGGTAATAAGCAAAATCATTATTTGAGATCTCTCCCTTGAGGCTATTACAGCACACCTATGGCGATGCATGTGCAGAGAGAGGAGTGAAGGTGTCATCCGAAATAAATTTTATTTTATCTATATGTTTATATATTTATTTATTATTTTTACAAATAACTCAAGGTGGCAAACATATCCAACACACCTTCTTCCTCCTATTTTCCCCACAACAGCCCTGTGAGGTGGGTTGGGCTGAGAGAGGGGGGGATTGGCCTGAAGTCACCCAGCCGGCTTTCGTGCCAAAGGCAGGACTAGAACTCAGTGTCTCCTAATGATTAGCCCAAAGTCACCCAGCGGGCTTTCATGCCAAAACTAGAGTAGAAATTATCTCTTCGTGATTGGCCCAAAATCACCCAATCAGCTGTCATGCCTAAAGCAGAACTGTAACTCACTGTCTCCTAATGATTAACCCAAAGTCACCCAGCCGGTTTTGAAGCTAGCCTGATGCCTTAACCACTACACCAGGGGGTCTGCAACCTTAAACACTCAAAGAGCCATTTGGACCTGTTTCCCACAGAAAACATCAGGAGTCACAAAACCTGTATGGGCGTGGCCAACTTGATGTCACTCACTCCCACCCAGTCACATGACCCCCACCACCACGCCTACCCAGATTTTGTTGCTCCCGGTATTTTGTTTTCTCTGGGAAACAGGTACCTCTCTCTTTCTCATTTCATCTCTCTCTCTCATCACTCTCTTTCTCATCTCTTTCTCTTTCTCCCTTTTTCTTTCTCCCTCTCTCTCATCTCTCCCTCCCTCTCTCTTTCTCTCTCTCACTCATCTCTGTCTCCCTCTCATTTCCCTTTCTCACTGTCTCTTTCTCTTTCTCTCTCCCTCTCTCTCATCTCTCCCTCTTTCTCTCTACCCCAAGAAAGTGGCCTGGCCGGGCTGCAGCCAATGCTCCGCATCGTAATGGGCTCCAGGAGGAGGAGGGGACATTGTCGCCTCCATTGTGAAACACGCTAAATTTAAGTCTGCTGCGCAAGGCGCTGAGCAGAGCAGCAAGCAGGTCATGGAGGCAGTGAGAGCAGCGGCATTAGCCGCAGCTGGGCCGGGCCAGTGTCTCGGGGTGGAGAGAAAGTTATGTATTTCCCCGAGCGACCGAGGTGAGCGCAGCATCAACAAGGGCCAGAAGAAGAGGCAAGTACAGGGCCGTTTTGCTCCTGCTCTGGAATTTGGAATGAGTCTCCATCCGCCGCTGTCGCCCTTACCTTTTCAGGCAAGGAGTGACTGGGAGAGGAGGGTGAGGGGCGGGGCCAGCCAGTGATGGGATCACCCAACAGGGAGCCACAGCAGAGGGCCCAAAGAGCTGCATGCAGCTCTGGTTGCTGACACCCGCACTGCACCAACTGGTTCTCAACTATATTGTACCTTAAGCCACATCGTGTCCTCTCTTTCCCCTTTTCTGATGTTTGGATGTGTTCCTGCTGGTTTAACTAGAGCATCCAACACTTACCCCTCTCGTCTGATTGTACTTGGGCCTCCAAGTCTTCTGGAGAGACATAAAATTCCGGTTCATCTCCTTCAGGGGGTTTCGGTTTACACTTTCCACAGCAACAGTTACAGCAACAGCAGAGACAGCAGCAACAGTAGCACCCGGTTATGAGCCCACAGAAGACAAACAGCGCCTGGATAGGGGAGAAAAGAAACGTAGATTATCCGTATGGAGCAAGCAAGCTTGCCTGGGGAAGACAAGTCAGAGAAAAAGAGCGACCAGAATTGGGAGTGTCGAACTCTGAGCAGTGGATCTACTGCTGAATACGTGTCTTAAAGAGCTGATGATGGCTCATTGGGTATGATCTTCCACCTTGACTCCACTGATTGATTTATGACAGCTGTTCAGCAACCAGTCCTGTGTGTTTGGCACTGATCCAAAGGCATTCAAGTAGTTGATCAGCCAATTCTACACAGGGCATCCTTGGAAGGAAACTCAGAAGGGGTAAATATCTACAAAACATGGTGGGCCAGGTTGCAGGTTGAGAAAACCTGGCACTGTAGAATCACAGCCACCTTGAGGTTGCTGACCCAGGTCCAATGCTGGTTATTATCTAGATCAGGGGTCTCCAACCTTGGCAACTTTAAGACTTGTGGACTTCAACTCCCAAAGCTGGCTGAGGAACTCTGGGAGTTGAAGTCCACAAGTCTTAAAGTTGCCAAGGTTGGAGACCCCTGATCTAGAGGACTCTTTAAAATTTAGTACTGGGATAGATGGGAAATCACCTTGCTAAAATATTAGATCTGCCTTGTCCAGACTGAATACCAAGGGAGGACCTGCTAAGGGTCTCCCTGACCTCAAGAGATACTGTTCCTGGAGTATGGGCCACCACAGGCCTTTTCAATGATAGCCCTAGGCCTAGGACAGGGGTCAGCAACCTGCAGCTCTGGAATCGCAAGTGGCTCTTTCACCCCTCTGCTGTGGCTCCCCGTCACTCAAAATATGCGTCGCAACTGCAAATGTGTGACACCCGCCGGCACGCCATTTATTGAGCTTTTCAACCTCCAGTAGGCCAACCATGGATAAATCCAAGAAAAGAAAAGTTTCAGAAGAAAACAGAACATTTAATTCAAGTACATATGCTAGTTTTGTGGCTGCTCAAGAAATAGTCAGGCACGGGAAGGGTTTTGTGGCTCCCGGTGTTTTCTTTTCTGTGGGAAACAGGTCCAAATGGCTCTTTGAGTGTTTAAGGTTGCAGATCCCTGGCCTAGGAGAACTTGTAAACAAGCTGAGAAAGAAACGAGAGGAACACTAGACATACATACTGGCCTAGCTCATAAACAGGTGTTTGGCCTCTAGGAAAAAGAGATTAAAAGGTTGACTCAGCCTTCCATCCTTTCTAAGGTAGGTAAAATGAGGACCCAGATTGTGGGGGCAATAAGCTGACTTTGTATAAAAATATACAAAAGTATGAAGGCTATTGCTTAATGCATTGTAAGCCGCCCTGAGTCTCCGGAGAAGGGCGGCATATAAATCAATTTTTTTAAAAAAATGTTCAAAGAGACATCATCTTAATGAACTTGCTTATGAAAGAGGGCTGGGGCTGGGGGGGGGGTTTCCTACCAGAGTTTTCAGAATTTTGTGATCTTCATTCATTCTTATCAAGGCCTGCGGGATTCTTGCTTCTTCGATGAGGCCTTATTGTAAGTGACTTGACAAGGATGTCAAATGCTGGCTGAGGAATTCTGGGAATTGAAGTCCATCAGTCTGAGGGGTGGCTAAGATTGGACACCCCTGCCAACCATGTCCATTTGGGGCCATCATGTCACCCATATCAAAAGTCTTTCAAGACCGTCATAATTCCAACATGCCTTTGGGTTTGAATCATTGTGGGTGAGCCCCCTTATTATATTAACGTCATTAATACATTACCAACATTGTAATATTTTATCCTTGCTTTGTGAACATTGCCCTGTGTCACGATGGATGGGGATGAAGAAAAGCATAGATGCCTTTAGAAATATTTCTAAACCTATCGTTAGCCCTCCTAACCAACCTTTCCAGCATTCGGGCTGTCATTATATTACCAAAATATATATCTGATCTAATACATCTAAATGGCATCCATTAGCACAAAACTCTTGCTTTTGTAGAGGAGAGTAGCAATGGCTCAGCATGACCAAAGCTCTTGGATGGACGGAGTTCAAAATGCTTCTATCATGGTAGAGAATCCAGGAAAAAGCTGAAAAGTCATAGATCAGCGTGGCTGACTCACCAAAACAGGAAAGCAGTGCCTTCAAACCTACAGTAGGCTTAAAATGGGTGACATCATATGACATGCTTAAGCTAAAACACCAGCAAACCTGTTTACTAGATTTAATTAAGACGTGTTTCGAACTTTAAGGAGGCCTTCCGAAAGCAATGTAGAATTTTCAAGAAATTGTATTGGAAAGATATTCACCGTCATCATCATCAAGTCTGGTGCAGAGCACCCAGGGCAGCAAGTGTTTTCCAGTGTTTGTGGCCATTTGAAGCATCTTCGGCATCGTCCCAAGGGACGTTAATGTAATCAGAAAGATATTGCTCATGGTTATCATTATCATGATCATCATTACAGACCCCTCGCATCCTGGACATAAACTGTTTCAACTCCTACCCTCAAAACGACGCTATACGACGCACACCAGAACAACTAGACACAAGGACAGTTTTTCCCCGAATGCCATCGCTCTGCTAAATAAATAATTCCCTCAACACTGTCAAACCATTTACTAACTCTGCATCACTATTAATCTTCTCATTGTTCCCACCACCCATCTCCTCCCACTTATGACTGTATGACTGTAACTTTGTTGCTGGTATCCTTATGATTTATATTGATATTGTTTCCTGATTGCTTATTTGTACCCTATGACTATCATTAAGTGTTGTACCTTATGATTCTTGACGAATATATCTTTTCTTTTATCTTCTGCACCAAGACAAACTCCTTGTGAGTCCAATCACACTTGGCCAATAAAAAATTGTATTCTATTGCTCATGAAAAATTCTTCAAATTAAAAATGCATTGTTGGCCTCAAATTTGTACCTCGCCACAAAAGATGAAAATGAATCCATTTTAGAAAAGCTGATCGTGATTACGGCGAATGTTTGAAAACAGGGCTTAAAAATGGCAGACTTTAAAAAAGAAGGTTTTTAACGCACACCCTTGTAAAATTATAAATGGCAATTCACTGTCCTCTTCTATATTATTCGCTTTTCCTTTCCTAGACTGAGGGGGGCGTCTAGAAATATACGATCTCCTATGACCTTTCTAAACTCCTTAAAAAAGACAAGGTTGCTTCTTGCTTTGGAAATCTTTATGACCCCCCCTCCCCAGGAAAATTAACTGGCACACAAATCATACATGATTTAAAATTTCCTTTAATCATGCTGCAGTTAGCATTTTTACAAGCCTCAGCAGCTACTCAATTTATAGAGGGGGAGAGGGAAAAGGATAAAGAGGCCGAAGAAACTGGTCTGTGGTAGCTAGATGGAAGCCCAAGTATTTATTCACTTTTTTCCACGTTAGAAAAAAGGCACTTCAATCCTTGAAAATGAATGAGGCAAATTTTGCTTTAAGACAAAATTAATTTAATTAATTTCAGGACAGAATCCACTCGGTACTCACCTTGGCCCACCAGCTGGATAACACAAAATAGGTATTCACATTCTCTTCTCCAAACTGTTCTGCTACGTACAGCCCCAAAGAGCCATACTTATCATAAATATTTCTTTTTGTAGCATCAGTCAATATTGCGTGTGCGTTGTTAATCTCTTTAAATTTATCTGCGGCTTCTGGATTATCTGGGTTCTTATCGGGGTGATATTTTAATGCGAGTTTCCTATGGAAGAAGTAAACAATATTAAGGGGAGGGGAAAAAGCTTGACAAAACTTTAAACACAGCTGCTGGAACAAGTCACTGGGGAGTTACTCTTCAAGCAGATGGAATTCAGAGAAAAATGAAGCAACACACAATCATTTATACCCCAAACATGGCGTGTGTGAGTGAAATACAGACTTCCCATTCTTATTCATACTGAGGATGTAGCTTTTTTTGGGGGGAGGGGGGTGTCTGTTGTAGTGGTGCGTTGCCCCCGGTTTGAATCGGTTCTATAGAACTGGTAGTAAATCCGGCAGGAGGCTCCGCCCACTGATGTCATCAGGAAGTTTCTGCACATGTGCAGAAGTGTGTGCGCGGCCCCGTTGCAAACCGGTAGTAAAGATAAGTAGAACCCACCCCTGGTCTGTTGTAACTTCAGTCACTAAGTGACTGAATTGTCACTGATGCCTTCTACTGATGAAGGCATCAGACTAGAAATCTGGAGCTATTTGTGACCCAATTTCGAAGTTACAATAACTGCATCCCCTTCTTGGAGTCATGCAATCGCATTTGGGATGCTGGGAACTGGCTTTCCTTTATGGCCGCTTGCCACCTCTGCTAATCATGTAATGGCAATTTCTGTCATTTTTTTTTGCCGGTTTTGCTGGTGTTTATTTCCAGTTTCTGGCAAAAAAACCCCACCCATTGGGTAAAATGGACTTACTTAATGACCAGCATAAAAAATGCCAGCAAATCAGGTCTAGTCACATGGTGACCCATTTAATGATCACCATGACTTACCACCGTAACTCCAGGCCCAATGACGGTTGTAAGTCGAGGATTAGCTGTACCTGACTCTCCAAGAAAGCAGACACCATGAAGAGCCAAATTGTTTTACTTTTATTCGACTCTGCCAGTGCAGCTTCTTTTTGGAGGTGTGAGCAGGTGGGGCACAAACACCGCTCCCCACTCTAAAGCACCTTTCCTGTTGGAGACCTTGTTGGAGAATGTGCTCCTGAGCATATGCAGAATGCTAAAAGAATAGCAAGTAATTAAGTAGCGGAAGTTCCCATTAAAAAGAAAAACTGGATGCAAAGGCTTATCCTAGCCATAAATGAATGCCATTCATTGGTATCTGAAATAAATTATAGTTTTATTAAGAAATATAAGAAAGCTTAAGTTCTGCCTAAACTACATTTTGAACAGAAGGACCTCCCAGTCCTCCTCATCCTCTTCCTCCTCTCTGCAGATCCCATCCCCTTCCAGCACTGATGATGTTACCTAGTTGGGTAATGAAACAGCTGGCTCATAAGTGCAGGGGAATGATCCAATCTCCATCACAAACTGTCATCCCTTCAAATCAAAACTTTAAAATAACATTTACCACCAATAGCTCAGCATCCTCTAAAAGTAGATGGTTCCCATCCAGTTTTTTTTTTTAAAAAAATGCATTATTCTTGATCAGCCTGAGTTACAGACAGATTTGGAAATACCTGATACATTTTTAGGAGAAATACTGCAACTTTCTTTTTGCAATTCATTGGCAGGATTTCTAACACCACTGATTAGAAACAGTCAAAGAACAGGGTGACCCAATCCCCTAATTAGATGACTGAAATGAAAAAAGGTTAAAGTAATTAGGATAAATTCTGGCATGGAAAGAATAACATGATGTCCCAGGTTTTGGACCTGCTTGGTTCTATTTTTAATTCGTGTTTTTGCATGTATGTTTAAGCTAATACTAAGAAGGAAACTCCCAAGTTGATTTGCCATTTTCTTTTTGCTCTGTGCGGCAGCATCTTTGAAACCTGGGGCTCTTGATACCTTCTTCACTTCAATCACAGCTGTGAATCCACAAAAAACATGCCACTTATTTTGGGGGCACAACTACTCCAAAGCACTTTTCTTCAGATTTCAAGTGTTCCACATCCCCATTAAACATAGATTTAAAAAATGGTAAAAAAAACCCTAGAGGTCCATCAAGTCTGTCCTTTGAAGTATTTATTTATTTATTTGGTTATTTATTCTTATCAGATGATTGACATGTTTAAACAAGCATGTTTAAACAGTTACTGAAGATTGACCCACTACCTCAGCTGGAAGTTGTTTCCAAGCTTCCATTACTCTTTCTAAGAAGTAACACTTACTAACATTACTTTTGAGCTTGCCACCTGTCGCTTGGAGGTTATGCTCCTGGGTTCTTAATTTTTGCTTTATACTGAAATCAAACAAGTTGTTTTATGGCGTCAAAAGCTCATATTTAACTAAGGTGATATCGTCAGTTGCAAAAAAAAAAACCTTGGAAGATCACTGTTAGGGAATGGCTATTGCCTAACTGGTTGGGTTGGTAATATATATAAACCATCAATGCATGTTTGCAGTCAAAATGTAATGTATAGCTTTAAGACTGTAATACTGTATTGTATCATACTGTATTCTGATTGGCTAGCTCTGTAGCCAATGTATTTAAGAGGAAGCTTGAATCATGGCTTTTCTTATTACATTATTATTGCTACCTCTGCTCCTCTCTGCCTGTTCTCTCTGCATGATCACTGCTTTATCATTGCTACTTGTTGTTTTCTACTGTTTTACTGATTGTTTTACTGCTGTACTTGTTCCTGTTTGCAACTCCAAAAAGAACTGTTTTATTGCTTATGACTACAACAACTGGTAAGAAGACTTTGTTCTTGGAATATCCCTGGATTGACAATTTAACTATCTTTATCTGTGTATGACCTGGATTGTTTATTGGACTTTGCTTTGCTTTTTCCTAAAAGTAAAAGAATATCATAACTCAGTATGTGTGTGTATTGACAGTGCTTAGTCACAATCACTCTCAGCCGTTTCTTATGTGCACACCCTTGCTACTCAAGGATTATTCTACGCATATTCCTTAACAATCACAGTTGATCGAATTTTTGTTGATTCCCCAACTCAAGAAAGTTGGTGGCGGATTCCAACGGTCACCTTTTCTCTGATAGAAATAGCTGGTGAGTGCATTTACTGGTCCGTACACCAGCTGACCTCATACAGGTAGACTTCAACTTACAACTGTTCATGGAGTGACTGTCTGAAGTTATAACAGCACTGAAAAAAAGGGACCGGCAACAATCCTCCTGATTACGACTATCACAGCATCCCCACAATCACGTGATTAAAATCTGATTGCTTGGCAACCAGCATGTGGTTGCAGCATCCCAAAGTCCTGTGATGGTCATTTGCAAGCTTCCCAGCCAGCTTCCAACAAAGCAAAATCAAGGGGAGAAGAAGCCAGGCTCACTTAACAATCGTGTGATTTACTTAACTGCAGCCGTTCACCTAACCACCACCTTACTTAGCAAAAGAAACTCTGGTCCCAAAACGTGGTTCTAAGTTGAGGACCACCTGTTTCAGGTTCTAGAAATGCGGAGATCCAAAATCGCAAGGTGTGCTGGTTGTATCAACTAATGTTTGTATGCCACATACTTATGGGCCACTTGGAGATGTTTGAAACTCGATTCAGCCTGCAAATGTTTAAAATGCATCTGAAATTCATGCTACCTTCAGAATGAGGGTCTGCCTCCTTATCTGTATGATTTCTTTTTTAAAAAATTAATTCTTATTAAACATTTTTCAAAAAACAAAAAAGAATCTTTAAATAATAATTTCTTTCCAACAATTTCGCAACAGTTAAAACATTTCTGACTTGTCCATTTTTTCTCCCTTATTTCAATGTATCCTTTATACATACAAGTCTAATATTAATTTATTTACATACCGTATTTTTCGGAGTATAAGACACACCTTTTTCCCTCCTAAAAGGGGATGAAAATTTAGGTGCGTCTTATACACCAAATGTAGCCTTGCCCACCCACTGGCCCCCACCCTTTGGCCTCTGCCTCGCAGCAGTTACCTCCTTGCAAGCAAACAGCAAGAAAAAAACAGCTCCTTTCAGCTTCAGCACAGCCTAATTAGCACAAGTTAATTCCATCTGCCTCCCAACTCTCAGTTGATTTGCTCTCAGCTGTTTTGCGCAGGGCTCTGTTGCTTGCTGCAAAGAGGTAAATTGCTGGAGCAGATTTTTTTCCCCCTTGTGCTAATCAAGTTATGCTGAAAACGAAAATGAAAGTAAAGCAGGCTGTTCGCTGTTTGCTGGAAAGAGGCAAAATTGCTCAGAGGCAGAGGCAGAGGCAGGTTTCTTTTTCTTCTTTTCCTCACCAGAAAAGATATATACTCTGGTGCGTCTTATACTCTGAAAAATACGGTATATACATATAAATAACAGTGTACCCAATTTCATTTCTACAAACTACATTTTTTCTGCTTCCTCTTATTTGTTGTTACATTTCTACTCCTATATCTTCCTTATTTGATCTTTTATTGCCTTTTATCTCTCTCCTCTAGCCATTCGTACCATTTCTCCCACACTATCTAATATTCTGTTTCCTCTTTTTCTTGTATCTCCTTTGTAAATTTGTCCATTTCTGCACATTCCAAGACTTTTCTAATCAAATGATCTTCGGTCAGTATGTTATTGTTTTTCCAATTCTGTGCGTATATTATTCTTGCTGCTATGATGGATGATTAAATATTGCATTTTTTTTTCATAAGACCCTGGGAGTATTCCTAATAAAAATATTTCCGGTTTCATCTCAATATGATGTTTGGTTATTTCTTCTAATTGTAATTTAAACTTACTCCAATACTGTTTTGCTTTGGGGCACATCCACCACATGTGTTAGTATGTTCCCCTTTGTTGTTTCCATTTCCAACACGTTGATGAGGTATTGGGAAACATCTTAGCCAGTCTTCCTAGTGGCAAATGCCACCTATAGGACATTTTTTATATATATTTTCTTTATAGGGTACAGACATTATATGATATTATAACATACAGACCTGTACGATTTCTTAATATCATCTGAGGTGGCATTCTTGTCCAGTCCTAGAACGTGGTATAGTGATTCTCCGGACGTGGATAACGAACGTTGCCTCTGATCTCCCATCCTGATCTCCTACCCTGTCAGGAAGAAAAGGGTTCAAAACATGACATGATGTTGTCTATGGAGAGTCTCAATCATCCTAGTCATGTTTGTCCCAAAGATGCTTTTTCCAAAAGGCAACCAGACTTTCTTGGTTTCTTATTCTTTGAAGACCTTTTGCTTCTCATTTAAGAAGCTTCTCCGGTTCTGGTGGGGAATGGAAGGATTTCTATTCCTCAGCAGTCAATCTAGTTGTTAACACTCTGAAGGTCGGATCATTATCTCTCTGAAGGTGGGTTATTAGCTCTCTCTTGTGAAGACAGCAGAAGTCACATTCTGGATAGAGAGGACCGCTGCATTGAAAAAGGGGTCAAAGAGGCCATCTATATTAAAATTGAACAGCCCCTTTCAACAGAGGGGGCGGGCGGAATATAACACCATCTATCTCCTGTCTACAATAGTCCTCTCAGCAGTCCCAAAAAAGCTTCCTTACCTATTTGCACTCTGATTCAGGTGACCCAACGGGTACAGAACAAATAAACCCAGGGGTGGGCTGCTGGGGGTTCACAAGGGTTCGGGAGAACCTCTAGCTAAGATTCTGTGCACTTCGGGGAACCCCCATATCCCACTCCTGGCTGGCCCCGCCCAGCCCCTCGCAGGAGTCTCCACATGGCCTGTTTTGGATGCAGGTAAGTGCAGGACACGTGCGGAGGCTCGGGGAAGGTGAAAAACGGGCCTACCAGAAGTTCAGGAAACGGGCCCGTTTCTGGCCTCCAGAGGGTCTCCGGAGCCTGGGGAGGCCATTTTTGCCCTCCTGGAGGCTTGAAGAAAGCCTCTGGAGCCTGGGGAGGGCAAAACCCCATCCCCCTGCTGTGGTGCAGGAGGCTGACTAAGCCACGCCCAAAATGGCCACCCCCACCCAGCAACCAGGCAGAAAACCTCTTGCTAAAATTTTTGAAGCCCACCCCTGGATAAACCCCCAAGTGGTCTCAACGAATCTCAGAGAGCCAAAGACCAACCTTCAGAATGCTAATCAAGAGATGACTGCAAGGAATACAAAACCTTCCACGCCCCACACCATTCAGCCAGAATTAAAGAAGCTTCTTGGATGGGAAGTGACACGTTTTATTTTAAAAGAAAAAAAGAAAGAAAGTCCAGTTCCCTTTTGAAAAGCACTTTTGGAACATGAGGTAAAACTGGTTTTCCATCTCCATAAAACTAGAAGGCTAGACCTCCCAACCCTCTGCAGCCGTAAAGTTCATTTGGAAGACACTTCAGGATCTTCTGACTGCCTGATCAACTTTATCAGGATAAGGACAGGATCAATCCCATGTGTTTTGATTACAGCACCATGACGGAAGGACATTATCAAGCTTTGAAATTTGCTTTTGCTGTTTCAGCCATTTTCAATTCTCAGGTTGCCAACACCCTGAGGCAGAAAGGAGAGGAAGAAAGGAATGTACACTCCCGGCAACAAGACAACAGTCATGGGAACCAAGGACACTTCAACAGGTGTTTGCCAGAGTCAAAAAGATTTTCTCACAACAACATTAAGAAACACAATTGGACAATGTGACCTGGCCTAAAAGGGGGAGGGAGAATCTATACTTTCACTATATGGGTTTGCGTGGGAAATAGCTAGATCTGGTTTTGCTTTCATATGTGCCGAAATGATGTAATCAATAAAGCTTTGCATAAGGAGATTGGATCGTCTCTGTCATGCCTGCTTTGCTTGGGTTCGTCAGTTGGAACCTTGACAGACATGTTCCTTCATCATAAAATTAATACACTTAATCTTAAGCATCCATTCCTTTTTCCATAGGGAAAAAAATAAATAAATTCATCAGAGTTTTAGTGATGAACATTATTTCTGTGACCTTGATAAAATGTGAATTTATTATATAGGTAGTCCTTGACTTACAACCATTCATGAATTTGCAACAGCATTGAAAAAAAAAGTGACATGACCATTTTTCACACTTACAACTGTTGCAGCATCCCAGGTCACATGATCAAAATTCAGATGCTTGGCAGCTGGCATGTATTTCTGATGATTGTAGTGTCCCGGAGTCACGAGATCACCTTTTGTGACCTTCTGATGAGGGAAGCCAGATTGTTTGGTGAATGGGGAAGCCAGATTCACCAAACAATTGTGTTACTAACTTTAACAACTGCAGTGACTCACTTAACAATTGTGGCAAGAAGGGTCGCAAAGTGGGGTAAAACTCACTTAATAACTGTCTCGTTCAGCAACAGAAATTTGGGGCTCTTTTGTGGTTGTAAGTCGAGGACCACCTGAAATACATGCGTTGACTTCTGACCAGCAAATCTGTCATCAAGGTTTTCCAAACACATGTCAAGAATGAAACTTTGGCAGCTACGTGCCTCTTCCTTTCAACTTGCCATTAGAGTAAGGGGAAGTGTTGCTTTAGAATGGGTTAGATGGAGAAAGGAAACCTCCACAATTCCACTGAAGTCTGGGGAAGCCTGAAACCTTTTCAAGGACGTTGTAGGAGTGTGGAGTTGAAGCAGGCGGTTCCCATAACAAAGTGAACGTGTTTACATGGACTATGTGAAAGGCTGGGGGTTTGGCTGGGGAAAGTATTGTTTAATTCTATGAACTGGTATTTGGGAAACTCAGAGCTAGTTTTGCTTAGACATCGCCATGGAGCGTGTTCAATGAACAGTAAGATTTTCAGTAACAGAACAAACCTGGAGTTCTATTTGGAATCAACATCGAGCTGGATGTTGACAATACATTCCGCTAGTTTGCATTGGCAACATTTATTTTGAGTTCAAAGCTTTTATAACCCCCGTTTTCAGCCTGAAAGCCTCTTAGGCAGAAAGAAAACGTGACAGGGAAAGAAAGGAAACCTATGTAAGTCGCTATGTAGTATGGGTTAATTTGCTAGCTGCCAGCTAGGGCCAAAATAGACTGATCAGGAAAGTGCAACAGACCCCATCATCGCTAGAGCACAAAGCCTGTTTTTTATTTCCCCAGAGGAAAACCCAGTGACTCATGTGAAGATGACCTGATGGGCTCAGCAAGCCACAATAACAGGGAGTCCACAGGGTAGCCCCAAGGACGCCTTGCTCATAACTCACATCATTCCCTTCTGGTAAAAAAAAAAAACTGCTGAGAAACAGAGATGACAGTTTACTGTTATTTCCACAGAGGAAAAGCAAGGAAAAAAACAGGCTGATCACAATGAGAAAACAAAAAGAGCAATGCTTTCCCAGCCCTGGGCGGGGAGTGGGGGCGGGGGGAACCAGCTCATCCCCCTTCAGGAATGTTACTGCAACCTCTGATTGCTCCTCAATAATAATAAAGTGCAAGGCTCCACCACTGAGGGCTGCTCTGTCCCCTCCTAGCCCAACCAGCTTGGCAGCTGGATAGCAGCCAAGATGTCCCCAAACCATCACAAGCTTCTTGCAACGGTATAGAAGGAGCCCTGGTGGCCCAGTGGTTAGAATGCGGTATTGCAAGCTAATTCTGCTGACTGCCCAGAAGTTTGATGCTGGCCAACTCCAGGTTGACTCAGCCTTCCATCCTTCCGAAGTCGGTAAAATGCAGACCCAGATTGTTTGTGGCCAGAGGCTGACTCTGTAAACCATTTAGAGAGGGCTGTAAAGCACTGTGAAGCGGTATATAAGTCAAAGAGCTAGTGCTATTGTTATCTATCTATCTATCTATCTATCTATCTATCTATCTATCTATCTATTATCTATCTATCTATCTATCTATCTACCTACCTACCTACCTATCTACCTATCTATCTACCTATCGTATCTATCTATCTATCTATCTATCTATCTATCTATCTATCTATCTATCTAACCTACCTATCTATCTATCTATCTACCTATCTATCCTATCTATCTACTATCTACTATCTACCTACCTATCTACCTACCTATCTATCCTACCTACCTACCTACCTATCTTCTATCTACTATCTACCGTATCTATCGTATCTACCTACCTACCGTATCTATCCTATCCATCCATCCATCCATCCATCCATCCATCTACCTACCGTATCTATCTACCATATCTACCTACCTATCTGCCATGGTGGCGCAGTGGTTAGAGTGCAGTATTGCAGGCCAATTCTGCCGACCGCAAGGCATTCTATCCTGACTGGCTCAAGGTTGACTCAGCCTTCCATCCTCCTGAGGTCAATAAAATGAACCCCAATGCTGAATTCCTTCCATTCACTGCATTTTTCATACTGTATTTGCCTTTCATGTTACACCTGTGGCTTTTCCATGGCAACTGCCTTACTATGAGAGACAACATCTGTACAAATGACTCAGAGCTTCCTCTTCCCTCTTGAAGATTCTACTTCTTTTTAACAAGCGTCTCAACTGCTGACGCTCGTCTTGACAAAACCGTCTTTCCATATCCCCATGTCACATCAGCTCGCTCATTTTCACTACCCACCTTCCTCCCACCTAGCCCCATCATTAACTGCATGACTCTGCTGGAGTGTAGCCTAGCCAGGCTTGCACACCGTGTGCAAAAGACAAAATAATAAAAATTCCATGATACAGGCAGTCCTCGACTTACGACAGTTCATTCAGCGGCTGTTCAAAGTTACAACGGCACTGAAAAAAAAATGACATGACTGTTTTTCACACTTATGACCGTTGCAGTATCCCTGTGGTCACATGATCAAAATTCAGAAGCTTGGCAACTGATTCATATTCATGTCAGTTGCAGTGTCACGTGATCAACTTATCCCCGGGGTCACGTGATCAACTTTTGCGGCCTTCGGACCAGCAGAGTCAATACGGAAGCCAGATTCACTTTAACAACTGTGTGACTAACGTAAAAATTGCAGTGATTCATTTAACAGCTGTAGCAAGGAAGGTCATAAAATGGGGCAAAATTCACTTAACAAGTGTCCCGCTTAGCAACAGAAATGTTGGGCTCAATTGTGGTTGTAAGTCGAGGATTACCCATACAAAGGCCAAATGGTGCTCTGGGTTAAGGCTTCATTTTCCTTCAAACAGAATTTAAGGGAGAATGTTTGTT